ATATTGAAATTAATTCTGCCTGTTTTACAATCTTTTTTTTTTAATGTGGCCACTGGAAAATTTTAAATTGCATCTGTGCCTGCATTCTATTTCTGTGGAATGGCGCAGGCTGAGATGGTAGGGGTGGAATTCTTGTTCAATCGCTCAGTCATGTCTGACCCTTTCTGACCCCGTGGACTGCAGCACGCCAGGCCCCCCTGTCCTCCACTGGAGTTTGCTCAGACTCATGTCCACTGAGTCAGTGATGCTATCTAACCATCTCAACCTCTGCCACCCCCTTCTCCTTTTGCCTTCCATCTTTCCCAGCATCAGGGTCTTTTCCAGCGAGTCGGCTCTTCAGAGGTGGGGGCTGTTTTAGCTGGAGCAGGAAGGGAACTCTGAGGGGAAGTGGCTGCTGCCTCGAGAGCTCACGCTGAGAAAGGCCCCGCTCAGGAGAGGCAGAGGGAACTGTAGATGCAAAGGACCTGGGGTCAGAGCAGCACGGGAGCTGGCGTCACCGCAGCCTGGGTGCACTGGGGGCCGGGGAAAGAGTGAGGCGGCATTTAGCGGTGAGCGGAGGGAGCACCAGGCTGGGCTGCACCACGTGAGGAGCGTCCAGCGGCCCCCTACATGCCGGGGACCGAGCCAGTCTGGGGCTGCCCTCTCCCCAGCGTCCTCTCGGGGAAGCTCTGGCCCCGCACAGCTGGGAAGGCCCAGCCAGTGGCCCCGCCTGGGACAGCGGAGGTCAGCACTGGTCACCGAGTCCCCACAGCACGCTCCCTGCAGCCTTGCCCGGGCCGGCCGCTGCATGTCCTCGGCCCGCTCGGGCTGACCCCCGTGTACGCGATCGCCAAAACTGTTGGGAAAGGCCCAGGGGAGCCGCCAGCTCCCGAAATAACCTTACGCTAGTTCCAGGACATCTGTGGGGGGCGGAGTCCCGGGACCCCAAGCGGTGACATCGCAAGCCCAGTGCCGGGTCGCGGCTGGGGGGGCAGAGAGGGGCCGGCAGGGAAGGTGAGGGCGAGAGAAACCAGGGATGGACAGAGACCCGCAGAGGCACGCGAAGAAACAGTGTCGTGGAGTGGGCAGAGGCTGTGGGTGGAGACGGGCATCCTAGACTGGCAGCCCCGGCCCCTCTAGAGGGCCAGGCCGGGTGGGCCTCCAGGGCGCCTCCAGAGCGGGAGGGGCTGTGCCCCTTGGCTGAGGTCCGGCTGGGCGGGCAGCTGAACGGGAGGTGGGAGTTGGATGGACGCTCAGCGCCAGCGGGTGGGGAGCCCTGTCTGAGCCGGTTGACCCCAGGGCCTCAGAGGTCGTGAAGGACTCATCTCCTAGGCGCTCTGTGTTCCCAGGATGGAAGCTGAGTCCCAGAGAGGCCGAGTTCCTGCTCTCAGCCGCGCAGCAGGAGCACACCTTCCCCTCCGTGTCCCTCTCACATTTGGTCCCCACACCCCCCGCTGGCGGGCTTCCCCTGCCCTGGGCCCCCTGGGGGCTGTCCCCCGAGTGGCGTGGCCGGCACTGTGACCGCAGCCCCAGTAACAACAGGGAAGGGGAGACCCACAGTGGGCTGGCCCTTGTGAGGGGGAGGTTGGGGGGAAGCGGAGGCAGGGGGTGCTGCCTGGGGAGCCGGGCCCTCCCCACCCCAGGACCCAGCCGGGAACTCTGAGCGGTGGGAACTGAGGGGTGGATTTTTTAAAATTAAAGGGTCTTTACTGCAAGACCCCTATTGTGGTCCACATGATCCATCCATCATTTGTGCAACAGACAATTACTAAATGCTCGTCGTGTGCAGGGAGCTGGTGACCACAGCGAGGTGAACAATGGAAACGGAAGTCTAAGGCCACCTGGCCGTGTGGGCACACGGACGGGGCTGGAGTCTGCTCGGCCAGCGTCAGGGTCAGGACTCTGCAGGCTCTGGCGTGTCCCCGGCCCACACGTCCCAGAGAAGAGTCGAGGGGTTTTCTACTGGAAACCAAAATGGTCCATTAAACGACTCCCCCCACCCCCAGCAACGCTCCATCAAAGTACTGCTCGCTTTTTGATGATGCAAGTTTTACAACGTGTTTCTTGACCCCAGCAAGAAGTGAAGAAAGTGAGTGCCCGCCAGGTATGCACGGGAGCAGCAGAACTCGGGAGGGGCAGACACTGAGGCCGGCGCCCCACTGGCTGGAGGATGCCTATGCCCCCTGGCCGCAGCGGGTGTTCTGCACGAGGGCCAGGGTGGGCAGGACTCCGGGCCCAGGACAGAGGACAGGAGAGGGCCCCGGGGAGAGGCGAGGACAGGAGCGCGTGGTCAGCAGGGAGCCGGGCAGAGGCTTCCACAGGCGGCGACTCCCCAGCGGAGGGTGGCTGGGGCCTGCAGCTCAGCAGAGGGCAGCAGCGTGTGGCGGGAAGAGGAGCCGCCCCTGCTCACCTCCTCGCACTTCTTGGCCTCTGCTCGCCCCAGGCCCTCCCAGCCGTGGACGGACAGCTCGGACAGCTCGCTGCGGCTGCCAGGACCCGCCAGGACCACCCCGCCCCATCCCCGCTCCAACTGTGGCCCCCACTTCCCCAAGCTGGGTCAGGACACGAGATTCTTTCAAAAACATTTCCTTTGCAAAATAATCCTTCGAAATATGTTTTTGGAAACAGGCTCCTGATCAGCAGGAAGAAGTTAATTACAGTCCCTCCCAGAGGGGCGCGGGGGAGGAAGCCTGGTGGTCAGGAACAGCAGCGAGGGCCAGGACCGCAGCTCTGGCGCCACACCCACGCGTGGCCGGGGCCCCCGTCCCACCCCCCCGCCCCCCTCAGCCCACAGATGGGGAGATGCAGACCCCGAGAGGCCCAGGGACGTGGCTGGGGACACAGGTTCAGGGCTGAGCAGGCTCTTCCTCTGCCGCGATGTGGTGTCCATGTAGGAGGGTGGGTAGGCGTGTGCATACGTGTGTCCGTGTGGCTGTCTGTGTGTGTGTGAAGGTGAGCGTCCAAACAAAGACCGTCTGGACCCCCCAAGGACCTGGACAGGCCCCACTCTGGACTGCCTTCTGGGTGTTTCTATGCCGATCTCAGTAAGCCCTGAGGCTCACGGCCTGGCTCATGCCTTACAGATGTGAGCGCTCTGGTTCTGTTGGACGTCTGGGGCGTCTGAGCCCTGAACCTTGCTTAGGGCCAGCAGTCTAACCACCCAGCCCTCAGCACCAGGGCTCATTTAAGTGTGAACTACGCAGTGAGCCTTGGGGCCATGCCTGCACACGCCTGTCCCTCTGATCATCCGTCCACTCATCCCTCCATTTAGCGCCTGTCCTTCTGTCTGCATCGACTTCCTGTTGCTGTTGTAATAAATTACCGCAAACGCAGCGGCCTCAAACAACGCGAGTCTATTATCGCACAGCCCCGTGGGACAGGCATGGGTCTGGCCGGTGAGGATCAAGGTGTGGCCAGGGCTGCATCCCCTCTTCAGGCCCCAGGAGAGGGTCTGTTTTCTCGCCTTTCCGGTTTCCAGAAGTGCCTGCACCCCTTGGCTGGAGGCCCCGGCCTCCGTCTTCAGAGGCCGCCATGCTAACACTCAGCCTCACTTCCACCTTCGCAGCTCCTCTGACCCCCTCTTCGCTTACAAAAACCTGCTGGTCGAACTGGGTCCCCTGGCAAGGTTCAGGAAAACCTCTTTGTCCCTGTCTCAAGATTCTTCACTTAAAAAAAAAAAAGATTCTTCACTTATTATGTCGTCAAAGTCTTTTGCCGCATAAGGGCAGGAAACCCACGGGTATTAGGGGGAAGGACGTGGACGTCTTTGGGGGTGGTGGGGGCCACTATTCTGCCACCTCATCCTTCCATCTATATGAGCATCTGCTTCTCCATCCATTCACTCTCCTGCCGTCTCTCCATCTCTACGCCATTTATCCACCCGTCTAGGCAGCCAGCCAGCCCAGCATTTATCCAGCCGTCCTTTTATCCCTCTGTCTTTTTTGTCCGCCCCCTCCGTTTATCTGACCATTCATCCTCCAAGTGTCCCTCCATCAGTCCTAATTTCCATCTTTCCTTTCTATCCTCTGTCCATCCACCCATGCATCCGTCCACTCACATGCCCCTCTGTCCATCTGTCTGTCCAGAGGGGCCAGGGGGCCAAGGGAGCAGGATCAGAGAAGCAGAGAGGACGCGGTGGGGACAGCAGGCGGAGCCCCGGACTCTGCCTGGCTCAGTGTCCTCTTGCTCAGAGCTTCGCTCCTTCCTGGAACCCTCAGTTGTCACCACCACCACCCCCGCCCCGACGGATGGCTTCCTCTGCCACGCCTACCCGCTCGGGGTGGGGGCTCCAGGAAGACAGAGGCCGCAGCTGGCCCTCCTGGTGTCTGACCCAAGTCCGAGGAGCTGGCGGGGTTGGACCCGTTGTCATGAGCAGGGCAGGCAACCCCCGTTCAGGCACAGCCCCAGAGGCCGCAGAGGGGCCCCGCTGCCCGGATGGACCAATCGATGCCCGGGGGAGCAGGTCCTCACCGGCTCCACGTCCCTCCCCATCCCCCGCGAGCTCAGTACAGGGGGAGCCCTGGGTTCCAGGAAAGGCTGTGGGAAAGGCCCCTCGCAGACCCTTCTCTGGCCTCAGGGTGTCTCGCGGGGGAGTGTTGGTCACCCCAGGCTTGGGGAGAGGGCCCTGGACCAAGCCCAGGATGACTTGATGGGGAAAAAATGCCCCCAAGAGGAGAATCAGGCTCTGACTGCCAAGACACTCAGGCTTATCACAGCCTCATCCCCTTTATCTCCCTGCAGGGACAGAGGAGGGAGGGGCCCTGGGCTCGGCTGGCCGCCCGGCCCGGGGCTCCAAACCAGAGGGGAGGACCCGGTCGACCTCACTGTCCTCTGGGTCTCGCGGTCTCTGTGTCTGCATCTCTGACTCGTCTCCAACCACATCCTTCCTCTGGGGGCCTCTCTACAGCGGAGCTCCTGCCCTGGAGGCTGATTGCTGGGACTCTGCCCTCATCGCCCCGCCCACCCTAGACAGGGGTCACCTCCCCAGGATGGCCTCCTGGTGGCTGTTAGGAGTGACTTACCGTGCTGAGCTCCAGGCAGGTGCTGAGCTCCAGGCAGTGACCCTCACGCATGCCCCCCAGGGCCTGCATCCCTGTCTGAATGCCTGGACACTGAGGTATGGCCAGCCTGGGGTCCTGGAACAGGACACTGTGTGGTCAGCGCCTGTGACCCAGCCGAGCCCCGGGTCTGCGGCAGGCAGGCGCTTAAGGCCCTTCGGTAGGAGTGCTGGGTGGGTGGGTGGGAGGGTGGGAGGGTGGACGGTATGTGGCTGGGTGGGCTTGGACAGACAGGTCATGCCCCAGCCTGGCAAAGGCGGTCATCGGTGCCCAGGGCCCGCCTGCCCCCGCCAGCCAGCTCAGTACCCTGGGCTCCCACGTGAACCCCACGTGACCCCCCCAGAGGCGCAGGCCGGAGAGGCTGCCGCGGGTTCCTGGCGCGTGCCCTCCGGAGAAGCAGGCAGGAACGGGTGTGCCTGCCTCGTGGGTCAGGGCCCCGGGGAGGGGGGCAGGAAGGGAGGCGGGCTGTGCCTGCGGGCATCCCAGAGGTCAGCTGGGGGACAGGGCAAGCCGGGCCGCTGGTAGCTCCAGACTTCTCGGTCACCCCAGGCTGCCTCCAGCCTTGCCTGGGCCCCTGGTCCTCCCAGCGTCCTCCCCAGACCCCCTGACCCCACGTCTGGGACCCACCCTGCTCCAGGGGAACCCCCACAGCCTTGCAGACCTAGTGGGGTAAGGATCTGGACTGGAGGGGGATACACATGGAGTCAGGATCCGAACCCCGTACCAGAGCCGCACCCCCATCTGCATGACCCTGGGCTTCAGTGTCCCTATCCTGGGCTACAGCCACTCTGTCTTCAGGACAGCCACGTGCCACCACCCCATCCCCAGGGACAGCCATGTCCCCCCGCCCTCCACGGACAACCACGTCCCCCTCCCCCCTATGGAGGCTTGTGTAGCTCTGGGCCCAGCCGGGAGGCCAGGCTGGCACTGAGGGGCCAGAGGGGCCGGGCCCCCACGGTACGAGACCTGCAGTCCTGCCACTGTCACCCCCGTCACCAGGGGAAGCACTGTCTCCGAGACCCCACAGCAGGCCCCCCAGACAGGAGCCCCGGTAAGGCCCGAGAGGCAGCTGTTTAACGAGGGAGGGGCAGACGCGGTTGTCCCGAGTCAGAGGCCAGCCCCCAGGCCTGACCCAGCATCTGGCTGCCTCCGGGGGGTCGGGGGCCCCTCATCTGGCTCCCGAAGCCCCCGGAGCCACCCCACACCCTCACGGCCCCCGTGAGGGTATGGGGCAGGGGGCTTGCCAACAGGGCGGAACCGCCGCACATTTGGGGCAGTCTCCAAGTGGGAGGGGGCTGGGGTTCAGCAAAGGAGGGAGGCTGGTAGGGGGGCAGGGGTCTGGCAGCGAGGGTTACAAGCCCCCTCCTCTGTCTCCAGGCTGCTGCTCCTCAGCCCAGCCCGCACACACCTGTCACGCACGCGCACACCTGCAACACACCTCCCAGGATAGCACTGGAGCTGGGTGGGGGGCAAACCCTGGGGCCCCTCAGCCACCCCTTCTCCCCGAAGCCCCAGCCCACTCAGCCACGAGCCGCCGGCTCTCCCGTCCTCGGGCCAACAGAGGGCCTGCCTGGACCTCAGTCTCCCCTCGGGCGGCGCGCTGGGCTCTCGAGTCTGCAGGGACCGCCTTGCATCCACCATCCGGAGGGTCGGGTTTACGGTCCCGGGGCCGCTCCCCATTCTCTCTGTGGCGGGGCGGGGGGGTGCACGGGGCCACGGCCAGGCCTCCTCTCTTCCCCTCAGGCCCTGCCGGGGGCGGGGGCTGCGTCCTGTCCGTCTGCCCATTGTTCCCAGGCCACCAGGGCCGCCTGGCCACCCCGCCCCCACTGCAGAGGCGGGGAGCCGGGTGGGGAGGGAGGCCAGACCTGTTAACAAGCTCCTTCCCAGCCCCCGCCGCCTTAACTCCCCAGGCCCTTCCCAGGCGGAAAATTCAATTAGTTTCAAGCAACTGCTCTGCTGAAGAGCCAGAGAAAGGGGCAAAGGAGAAAGGGGATCCGCCTGGCGGCTGGTGTGTGCGCTGGGGGCGGGGGGTGGCTGGGGGAGAGGGGCCTGGGGGGCAAAGAGCCCGCTTAAGTCCCTGCGTCTCTGCCGCGTCCCCGTCTCTGAGTGTCTCTAAGCGTGACTTCATGTGTCCCCCGTGTGCCCACATCATTCCCTGCACAAGCCGGGCCCCCATGGCCCTCAGCGCCACCGCGTGGGCCCCTTGGGAGTCCACTGCAGGCTCTGGGTTCCCGCGGGAGGAAGCCTGGGGGCCGGGGGCGGCGCACACGGGAGGGTGGGACCCCCGTGACCCGCACCGTGCCCGCCTCCCCCTCAGTGTGCGTGCGCCCCTCTGTCTGGCTCCTTGCTGACCTCTCTCCTGTCCTCAGACACTGCAGTCTCCAGGCTGCAGGGCCTTGGCACACACCGCCCCCCAGGCCCGGCAAGCCGCCCCTGCGAGAAGCTCGACCCAGTGTAGGTCAGTCCTTCGCCCTCCCTAGGCTTCAGGGAGTAGCCCGTCTCCTCCTGCAGGGCGTGGGGAGCAGTCCTCTCTGGATGTCTCTGTCCCAGAGTTCAGCTTGGGGCCTGGCACACAGGAGGTGCTCCAGAAATGCTGACTGAGCGAAGTACCAGGCCCACACAGAACTTTAGAAAACGAGTCCTGTCTCTGCCTGGCGAACGCCTATGCACCCTGCCATGGCCCAGCTTCTAGGACCTCCTCCTTCAGGATGTCCATGGGATCAACAAGGAGCCTCGCATTCAGCCCTCAGCCTGGAGGTCTGCACTTTCCTCTGGCGCCCATTATCCCTCCACCATCTCCCTCTGCCCAGCCAGGTACCCCTTCACGGAAGGCCTCTGGGTCACCGGAGTGCAGGACAGGGCCGGTGCCCACTGGCCCATCCCATCCTCGTGGCACGCCTGTCCCCACCGTCCAGCTGGCCTCCTTCCTTCTGCCTCTCTCCTGCCCGCTCAGCTCAAGAGCCTTCCTGAGCCCTGTTGGGGGGGCGGAGAGGTGCCCCCCCGAGCCGGGCGTACAGGGGGCATGAGGGACACGGAGCTGCCAGGGGACACGGGCAAGAGTGCACACAGACACCAAGGCACCGGGTGGGTGGACGGGGCGGCCCCCTGAGCACTTCCGGGTGGACCCCCCAGACACTGCCAGGGGCCTGCTGGGGACGAAGGGAGGTTTGGGAAGGCAGACGTGGGGAGGGCCGTGTGCAGGAATGCGGGCCGGCCCCGCCTCTTTCCCCGAGGAGGGACAGAGGCAGATGGCAGCTGGGGGCTGAGAACGCAGGGGGAGGCTCCGATGGGCGACCCCCTCCTTGGGATCCAGGGGGACGCAGCCTTCTCAGGTTCCCAGCCCCCCGCCCTTTGCCAGCTGTGTGCAGCTGGGGCCCTGCCCTGAGAAACCCAACACCAGTGGGGGCGGGGGCCCGGGGCTGCAGACGGGCTTCCCGGGCCAGGGCCGCGGGGCGTGTGTGACCGACTGTGTCTGTAGGCAGGAACAGGGGTGCCCTATGAGCAAAACCCAGGGCCAGCCAGGGCTGAGGCTGGGATCCCTGGGGGGCGTCAAGGCCCTGAGCCTCAGTTTCCCCAGGATCGTGCCTCCAGCTCCTTTCTCCGGAGGGAGATGCATCACCTCCCTGCGAAGCCAGGGCTCAGCCCGCAACCCCCTCCCCATGCCAGGATGAGGGTCTGAGGCTCGGGGACACGTCCAGTGCCCGGCAAGTGGGCTCTGCCTCTGGAGGCCAGTGCAGAGAGGCCTTCTCCTGAGCCTTCAGGCCCCGCCACCCCCCTGGGCACCCTTGCCCACTGCCAACTCCACCTTGCCAACAGGGAAACTGAGGCCCCACCCGGTAGCCAGCTGCCAGAGCCGCCCTGCAGTGACCCCCGTTCTGCCCAGAGCCCGGGGGAGGCCGGGTGGGCAGGGGGCCGCCAGATGGCTATAATCCCACGTCAGCAGGGGCTTAGACACCTGCCCAGCCTCCCCCGCCTCCCGCGGGCCTGCCCAGCATTTCTGCACATCTCCTCTCGCAGGGGCTTCCCCCGCTGGGGCAGGTGGAGGGGCTCTCTCCCCACCGACACTCCCACCCCATTTCCTCCTTCCTGAGCCTGTGTCTCAGTGCTGGGGAGGGCTGGGCGCTCTGACAGGTCACCTGAGCGCGTTTTCTGGGCAGGCTCGCGGACAGCTCACTTCTGAGCTGGGGGCAGGGTGGGATGGGTGTGGGCCCGGGGGTGGGGGTGAGGGTCAGACAGTCCGTGCCCACGCCTGTGTCCATGGCTGCGTTTGGGGTCCCCTCCAGCCATGAAGTCCGGGACTGAGCGGGCTCAGGCCCACCGTGCCCCGCGCTGACTCCCGAGACCCATGCAACCCCGCGTCATGGACCACGCGGCCTCCTGCTGCCGCACCGTCCCTGTGAGCCTTCTCCCGGGCCCACTCTGACCCCCATCACCCTCCCCAGCCTGGGCGCCCCTGCTGGCATGGTGCACGGGCACTCAGCTTCTGGGGGCACGCGGGGCAGGAAGGTGGGACTCAGGCTCATCCCGGCCCACCCCGCCCGCTGAGGGCCCCCTGCTCCCTGGCTGCCGCCTTTCAGGGTCCGGCAGGCCTTTTCAGGGCTGACTGATGGCAGGCCTGCATTTCCATGTCAATGGGCCGGGCCGGGCCGCCTGGTAAGCTGGTTAACAAGCCCCCAGCCCCATGGGGGAGGCTGTGTGGGGTGTTAACACAAGCCCCATTCTCTGGGGCTCTGTGGCCTTGCGGTTGCTATGGCGCCCTGCGTGGCCTCTTGGGCCACGGCTAATCCTTTCCCTGGGCCTTTCATCCTGGCCGTCCCTCCCCCAGGCTGGTCGCTGGTGACTCAGGGATGCCCAACAAGGCTGGTTTCTCTGCCGGGGTCAGAGCAGGCCGTAAATCCAGCCCCCAGCCCCCCCCCGCCCTTTGTCCCTGAGTCCCCACCCTCCTCCTCTCGGAGCCTCAGTGGCGGGAAGGGGAGCCTTGGCCCGGTGGTCAGCTCCTGTCCTGGGAGTGGAGGGTCTCCAGGCCCACCCCGGGCTCTGTCCTCTGCTCGTCCGCCCCCTCACCCACGTGCTCATGGCTGTGCACGGGACCACCTTCTCCCGCAGTCCCGCGCAGTGAGCCTGGCCTCCGCGCTGCGCCTGGGAGGCGCCAGGCCTGCGCCTGCCCTCCGTCTGTTTTCTGTCTGCAAGTTTTCTCCGCAGATGTCTCAGATGCACCCTGTGCCCCGCCCGATCTGCGTCTTCACTTGAATGTCACCGTCCCCGTGAGGCCACAGGCCCTGCCCTCCCAACTCCAGCACTGGTTCTGCTCTTCCGGTAACCTTGTCCCTTCCCACACGCCCTGCAGAGCTCCGTGTAGTCCTTCATTCTCCTGGATGCCAGACCCACGAGCACGGGGGCCCCAGCCCCAAGCATGTGTCTGGCTCCTGGCAGGCGGAGGGCGCCCTGCGTGAAGGGATGGGGCGCTCTCATCGAGAGGTGGATGAGGTCCCAGGTCTGGGCTGCTCTGAATTTACACCAGAGGTCTTCACTGTCCCATTTGCCTCCTGGGTGCAGTCTTTCCACACACCGCTTCCTGTTGCATCCTGTCCCCAGGGAAAGAATCCTGCAGTCTGGAATCCCCAGGATTCGATTAGCCTGGACGCCAGACCCACGCTTGGCTCCCCACGGCACCTCTCCTGCCTAGCTTCTGCTTGCATGCCTCCAGCAATGGGGAGCTCACCACTGGGGTGGTGCAGTTGGGAGAACGTGCTTCCAGTTCTGGGTTCCAGCTCAGATGTCAGGGGAGCTCAGCTTGATGGGAACCTTGCCGGGGGCTCCTGTCTTGGGGTGCGTGGTGGCTGCTCCCTGGCTGGGGGCCATGGATGAATGACTGTTGGAAGGATTCAGGCCTGATAAGCCGTGAGCACCCTCCCTTGAAACTGGCCTGTCTCTCCTCACCCTTTCGGGCACCTGCTGATGCTCACCCTTGGCCTCCGTTGCTTTCTCAACCTCTCAGGAATCATGTGAGGCAGGAAGAACAGGACCCCACTCCGTTTCACAGCTGAGAACACTGAGTCTTAGGCGGAAAGGGCTAGAGCCTCCAGCAGGGAGGCAGCGCCTGACTTCCAATCCTGGGCCTCTCCCTAGGTGGCGAGGGGTGACAGCCCAGGCTTCTCACTGAGGGGCCTCGTGAGACAAGACAGCTCTGCCCAGTCCTGAGTGAGAAGCGTGTGACCCAGGCTTGGACCCTCCGCCCACTCCAGCCCCCCATGGCTCTCGGCCCCCAGGGGCCATGGGAGTGACGAGGAGGCTGGCCACCCAGATAGATTCCTGCTGCCCGGCCTGGCCGGAGGCAGCCACCAAGGAGGCCTGGGCCACCCTGGGGGAGGGGACAGCCGTGCAAAGATGCAGGTGAGGTGCCGGCTGGCCGGGCCCCGGGAAGGTGGCAGTGGTGAGAGAGGCTGAAGCTCAGGGGGACGGCCCGCCAAGGGGTTCAGTGAGGAAGGGCCCACAGAAACTCTGGCCCACAACCCAGCCAGCCTCAGCTTCCTCGCACCACGGGGACGGCAGAGGGGAAAACATCCTGTCCCCCAGAGGTGGGAGGGGGTGTCAGGGGCCCTGAGAGGAGGAGGGGTGGGGAGGGGGCCTCTCTCTGCTGTGTGTAGGCGGGAGCTGGATTCCGGGGCTCCCCGGGGAACCGAGGAAGACCTAGCTTTGCAGCTGCCATCACCAAGCCGCAGGCCAAGGCCGCCCCTCCCCCGCCTTCCTGTCTTCGCTCCTCCCCGGGGCCGTAGGCAGACAGGTTGTGAGGGTCGGCACCATCACTGCACCCGGAGAGGACGCGAGGACCAGGACTGTCCGCAGGACTCCCGGGCGGATGACGTCCGGCAGGCGCTGTGTGGGTTGCCTGCGGGCGGGCTCAGCCGTGGGGGGCAAACGCTAGCCTCGGGGGGGCCCCCTGCCCCCCACCAAGTCCAGCCCTGGGTGGAGCTGGCAGAGCAGCAGCCCTTGACTGTGGCCGCGCTGGCGCTCAGGGAGGGGGTCGCAGGCCCCTGGGTGGGGGCACCCAGATCTGCCGCTGTGTGGGTGCCTGAGGTCTGCAGCGGCGCTGGTCGGCGAGTCTCGGCAGGCCCAGCCACCTGGGCACCCGCCCAGCTTCGAGCCTGCAGGGGCCGAGGGCCCCCACCCCCAGCTCGGCTTCTCTCCATCCCCCTAACCCCGGCCCAGCCCCCCCAGCCCGGGCCACCCAGCAGCTCCTTAGCACCAACCAAACTGGGGTGCCCTGGATGGGGCGGGCTGCCTCCTCAGCCCCAGTCTCCACTGCAGCACGTGGATAACAGCACCGCTGAGCAGGGCTCCAAGAAAGCCCATGAGGGGCTCAGGCTCGGGAGACGGGGTCTCCCCAGAGAAACAGAGAGCAGGGGAGGACCCCGGAGTGAGGCTGACTTGGGTTCATGCCTCAGCTCCGTGTTTAAAGACCTTCCCTGACCCGGCTTCTCTGGTGACTCAGTGGCAAAGACTCCGCCTGCCGATGCAGAAGACACGGGCTCCATCCCTGATCCGTGAGGCTCCCACGTGCCTCGGAGCAACTAAGCCCGTGAACCACAGCTACTGAGCCCGCGCTCTAGAGCCTGGGAGCCATGGCTGCTGAGCTCACGGGCCACGACTCCCGAAGCCTGCGCGCCCTGGGGCCCGTGCTCTGCGACAAGACAGGCCACCGCGATGGGAAGCCGCACCCCGCCACGAAGGATAGCCCCCGCTCGCCGCAACTGGACCAAAGCCTGTGCAGCAACGAAGACCCAGCACAGCCAAAAGTAAATGTCACATATAAAAAGGCATTCCCCGGGCATAAACTCTGGCCTGAGCCCAGTGATTCTGCAGTGACCAAGGCAAGATCGGGCTCTGGAGGTCACGCTGCAGCGGGGGTGCCTGAGGATGCCACGGTGACGGGGCCAGGACACCGCCTGCTGCTGCCCTCACCACACACCAGGCCTGCGGGGTCAGCTCACGCGATCCTCACTGCACCCTTTGACGTAGGTCTCCTAACGGCTCCCATTTCACAGGTGAAGAGACCAAAGCACAGACAGCTTCTGACTCGCCTGAGGTCACCCAGCTAATGCACGATCCGCAGAACCAAGATTTCAAGACCAGGAGTGTGGCTCTGAGAGGCAGACAAGCAGAGTGACCATCCGGCCCAGCCCTCAACCTCAGCTTTCCCAACTGCCCGGCTCAAGATGATGTCTCTCTGGTCAGACCCAGGGCCGGGCCGGACAGTCAGGAGCAGGAAGTGGCAGGCGGGGTGTCCTGGCCACAGGCTCGGACGGCCCTCGTGCCGGGACCCCCAGATGCGGGGCCGCCTTTCAGTTCCTATAAAACTAGGTCATGACCATACCCCCCCCCAAGAAGGACCAGGCGGCCGGGGAGGACAGGCCCCTCACCCGGGAAGGCTCCCAGGCTCCATCTGGCCGTCTGCAGCTGGCAGCCACTCGCCTGAGCCGGTGGGCCCCAGATGGGCCCCGCGCCCCCGACCGGGGCAGGCTGGGGCAGCAGAGCCGGCGGCTAGTGAGGACCACACCCCGGTGGGGGTGCGGCACACGGGTCGTGGGAAGGGGCAGTGAGGGAGGTCCCCGTGGACACACCTGGATGGCCCAGCCTCAGGGGGGCTTGGAAGAAGGCATCGGAGCCTGCCCAGGCCCCCCCAGCCCCACCCCCGAGGCCAGACGGCCACCCCGCCCGCCTGCCTTCCGCGCTGCTGCCCCTGGGGACTGACCCGCCCTCTGGCTCCACAGAGGCGAGGATGAGACGAGGCAGGGGAACCGGCGGTGCGGGACACCTGAGCCCGCTGGCCAGGCCTCCCAGGGGGTGGCCGCCCCGGGCTGGGAGGCTGAGACACAGCCTGTTCCCACCGGTTGCCCCCAGAGGGCCTGGGAGGAGGCAGGTCAGCAGGTGGTGGGCCAGCTGGGGCCTCAACCCACGTCTGACGGGCAGAGAGACCAGGCCAGGCCCCTCCTGGCCTCAGTTTGTGTATCTGTGGCCAGGGACACTGTCCCTTGCTTCCGGGGTCCCTGGAAGCCACGCAGACGTGTGGGAGTCTCGCCCCATGCTACACTTGGCAGGCCGAGCCCGGAGCAGGGCTCACAGAAGATGTGGTGGAGCGCCCAGCTCTGCGAGCCAGGGCCGGGGAGGCCACCCTCAGCGTGGGAGCCCTCAGGCCCGGTCTCAGGCCCGGCTGGTGAGCTTGGAGCCAAGCCTTCTGCTTGTTGAAAAAGGAGCCTCGGAGAAGTGGAGCCAGTGTCTGGCACTGTGACTCCAGGCGGAAGGCGCCTTCCGCTGGTGGGGCAATCGCGGGGGGTGAGCTCTGGGCCTCACTGGCCCTGGGCCTGGTGGCCACTTGCCCGGCGCTCATGCCCAGACCTGAGGCTCATGCCCATGGCCTGCTAGTGGGAGGCCTCTGCAGAGTGCCGGCCATTGAGGGGGTGCTGGCCCATCGACGTGTGCCCTCTGTCCTTACATGGCGCGGGGCCCGGGGCCCCCAGGACCAGCCACGGTCACAGGGGTGCAGAACCTGTCTGTCCACCTATCCCGTCCACATTCCCGGGGGCAGGCCTGGAGCTGCCTGCTCTCCAAGCCACTGCCCCCACTCCCATCAGCTGGGCTCCCTGCCCCTCCTGACTCACACACGTCAAGGGTGACTTCCACGGCCCCCAGGCTGCCGTGATGAAGTGAAGGGCCTCTGGCGGGCAGTGAGGGGAGACGCAGCCTCCCAGACCCTTGGCATTTAAGGGTTGAATGGTGTGTGTGGGGGGTGTGTGTGTGCCCAGCCATGTCTGACTCTTTGTGACCCCCACGGATCAGAGCCCGCCAGGCTCCTCTGTCCATGGGATTCTCCAGGCAAGAATACTGGAGTGAGTTGCCATTTCCTTCTCCAGGGGATCGTCCCAACCCAGGGACTGAACCCGCATCTCTTGTATCTCTTGCATTGGCAGGCAGATGGATTCTTAACCACTGCACCCCCTGGGAGACCCTGGTTGAATGATGGCCTCCCCCTAAAACGTAAGTCCAACTCTTAACCCCCAGAACTTGTGGAGGGGATCTTATTTGCAGAAAGAGTCTTTGCAGACATAATTAAGTGAAGGACCTTAGGATGGGGGTCAGCCTGGATTTGTTGTTTTTCAGTTGCTAAGTTGTATCTGACTCTTAGCAACCCCATGGACTTCAGCAGGCCAGGCTCCTCTGTCCTCCACTCTCTCCCTGAGTCTGCTCAAACTCACATCCATTGAGTCAATAATGCTATCTAACTATCTCATCCTCTGCCTCCCTCTTCTCCTTTCACCTTCAATCTTTCCCAGCACAGGATCTTTTCCAATGAGTCAGCTCATCTGGTGACTAAGGTATTGGAGCTTCAGCTTCAGCATAAGCCCTTCCAATGAACTTTCAGGGTTAATTTCCTTTAGCATTGACCGGTTTGATCTTGCAGTCCAGGGGACTCTCTTCTCCAGCACTACAATCCAAAAGCAACCATTCTTTGGCGCTCAGCCTTCTTTATGGTCCAGCTCTTACATCTGTACATGACTACTGGAAAAATCATAGGATGGACTATACAGACCTTTGTCAGCAAAGTGATGTCTCTGCTTTTGAATATGCTGTCTAGGTTTGTCATACCTTTCCTTCCAAGAAGCAAGCCTCTTTTAATTTCATGGTTGCAGTCGCTGTCCATAGTAATTTTGGAGCCCAAAAAGTAAAATCTGTCATTACTTCAAATTTTTCCCCTTCTCTTTGCCATGAAGTGATGGGACTGGATGCCACGATCTTCGTTTTTTGAATGTTGAGTTTCAAGCCAGCCTTTTCATTCTCATCTTACACCCTCATCAAGAGGCTCTTTAGTTCCTATTCACTTTCTGGCATTAGAGTGGAATCATCTGCATATCTGAGGTCGTTGATATTTCTCCTGACAATCTTGATTTCAGCTAGTGATTCATCCAGCCCGGCATTTCACCCAATGTACTCTGCACAGAAGTTAAATAAGCAGGGCAACGTTATACAGCCTGCCCTGCTCCTTTCCCACCCTGGAGCCAGTTGTTCCATGTCTGCTTTAACTGTTGCTTCTTGACCTGCATACAGGTTTCTCAGGAGACATGTCAAGTGGTGTGGTACTACCATCTCTTTAAGAATTTTCCACAGTATGTTGCGATCCACACAGTCAAAAGCCTTAGCATAATCAACAAAGCAGAAGTAGATATTTTTCTGTAACTGCCTTGCTTTCTCTATGATCCAAAGAATGTTGGCAATTTGATCTCTGGTTCCTCTGCCTCTTTGAAACCCAGCTTGCTCATCTGCAAGTTCTCAGGGCACATACTGCGGAAGCCTAGCTTAAAGGATTTTGAGCATCACCTTGCCAGCATGGGAAATGAGCCTGGATCTGGTGGATCCTAAATCCAGTGAGAAGCACCCTGAGAAGAGGAGCAGAGAACACGGAAACATGCAGGGGAGACGTGATGATGGACGCGGAGGTCGGAGCGATGCTCCCACTCGCCCGGGAATGCCGAGGGCCGTGAGCACTCCCTGGAAGCTGGGCAAGAGGCCTGGGAGCAGATGCCCCTCTAAGCCTCCAGAGGAACCCGACCACCCCCGCCCACAACTTGATCTCGGACTCCTGGCCTCCAGAACTGGAAGACAATAAATGCCTGTTGTTTTAAGCCAAGTTCACGGCCACTGCTTACAGCAGCCCGAGGACGCTAATACAGGGGAAGTGGGGGTGGGCGCCTGAAGAGGCTTATCTCCCAGAAGCCAGGAGGGCCGGGGGCGGGGACAAGCGCCTGGAGGATGCACCTTCCCTGGACACGAGGGGCTGCTGCTCACTGATCCCTGCTCCCCGACGGGGGTTTTCAGCCGTTGGCTCAGGTGCACTGGAAGATGACCTGGGGTCAGCCGTCGATGCCACAGTCATAAGTGTCCTGAGCTGGGAGGGCCCAGCTGCGTCCTTCCAGAGCTGGCTGTGGGTCACGAAGCAAGTCCTGCCCGCCTCGGGGTCTCCAGCCACTTCTTAGGGCAGTGAGAACTTGGGGGGCATGTCTGCTGGGGTCCCCAGGCAGCGGGTTCAGCCGGGAGGTGCTGGGGGACGTCGAGAGGGCCTGGCAGCACCAGGCGGCCCTGAGGTGCCGCGTTTGGGCCCACGGGCAGAGGCGGGATGTGCCCGCTTGACTAGCCCTGCCTCTGGGGCCAGCCGGGGACAGCAGCGGTCGAGGAGCCTCCTGGAGGAGGAAGAGGCAGAGGCTTCGCATGAACTCCGGGGGAAGCTGACTCAGCCTCCGGGAGCCCCACTTCTCCAGGCAGCGCCTTCCTGATCGGGCCAACCTTCCGTCCAAAGTCTCTGCCACTGGCCGGACAGGAAGCACGTGGCGCAGACCACAGCCCACCCCGGCCCCCCGCCGGCTCGCTGGCCTGGCCCCAGCCTCCCACCTTGGCCTGGCCACCTCTCTGGGGAGCAAGGTCGAGGCCGGCCCGCCCCGCCCCTCCTTCCCGAGTCTGCAGCTGCGCCAGGGGGAAGGAGGCGGCTCGAGCTGCAGGGGCTGGCCCTGGGCGTGCGTGCACGTGGACACACGTGTCCTCCGCACTCAGCCACACGCTGGCCGGCCGGCACGTGCAGAGTCGGAGCCACTGTGGCCCCTCCCCCCATCCAGGGCACATGGGCTCCCCTGCACATTTGTGAAGGCAGGCACGCATCTGCACACACTCACAGACACAAGCGTGTGTGTGCTCTGAGGAGTTCAGCTGGGCTCCGTCTGCCAAACTGTGCGCACGGCCCCGAGCGTCAGGGCCCGAGGACCGAGCTGGGGAAGGGCGATGGGGACGCGGCGGGGGGTGTTCGGGCAGCTGAGGCGTCTCACTCACCCCCACAACAGCCTGCCCATCCCTGGATGAGATTCGAGTCTTCAGGCCCCGCGGTTGGCGCCCGAAGCCGTCGGCCTGCGGCGGCCTGCTCCCTCCTCTCCTCCAGCAGGGACTGACCCATGACCAGTCAGCCCAGGATGAGCCCTGCAGTCAGGGCAGGGGCCGGGGGAGGACCTCAGGTCAGCAGAGGCTGCAGAAAGCCTCGGGAGGGCTGGGAGGGGCCGCCGTGCCCCTGGGGGCGGGTCGCGCGCTGACCAAGGACAAGCGACTGAGATCCCGCCATCGCACTCTGCGCACCAGAATGGCTGCAAAGAAGGAGCACCCTTTCCCCAGCACGGCCGGGGGCGGCCAGCGAGACGCTCGGCAGGGTCCTCAGGACCTAGTGCAGACACAGCCCACCCGCGGGGCGAGCCTTCCTGAGACCCCACGTTGACGCAGGGCTGTGTGTGCTTGCGTACACGTGCCAGCCTGGGCCCCATCCCTGGCGGACGCCCCGTCAGCCCCAGCCCGGGGCTCCCGTGGGCAGGGAGGCGCACCCCTGTCTGGCCGGGATGCTGCGGTTCCCACGCTGTCACAATGACCACACAGCCGGGCGGCCCCCCCGGGGACGGAACCTAATCTCGGGCTATTGAAGACGGCAAAGCCGCGGCCCCTGCCCTGAGCCAGCAGACGGCCCCGCCCAGGACAGCTGATCCACTGCCGCCCTCCCCTCAAAGGGGGACACTGTCCCCCCGGGGCCCCCCACCCCGCCGGGCTGCTGGGATAGAGTGACACAGTGGCAGGCAGGGGCGGGATGGGGGGGTGCGCACCCCCGCCCCCAGGTGCAGGGGGCTGGCCTCAGAGTGCCACGATTGGAGGGCAGCCTTCGAGTCTGGAGGACAGCTGAGAAGAGAGAGCCTACCTGCCCGGGACCCCCACGCTGGGCGGAGGGCAGACAGTCCCCAAGGCTGGGGACCCTCCCTCGCCCCACCTGGAGGGGTGACCCGAGGGCCACGCTACGGGCTGGGTGGGCGGCCTGGGTGTCGGCTCAGGCGGAGGCGCCGGCCGGGGGGGCGGGAGCACCGTCTGCTGGACTCGGGGTGTGCAGGGAGCAGGCGGAGGACGCGGTGGGGTGGGGGGACGCCAGCCCTCTGAGAGGGCGGTGAGACGGGAGCCAAGGAAGGCGCTGGACCGGAGCACCACTTGTAGGGTCGGGGCCTCTAAGACCACGCGGCCAGCGCCTCATTCCGCTCCAGCTCCCGGCGGGGACCCAGGCACCTTGGTCTTGGAACCGGCCTGGACCTGTGACCGCCTCCCACCGCAGGTGGCCAGGGAAACTGTGGGCCAGAGGGGTGCGGGGGCGCCACAACGTGGTCCCCAGGCGGGCTTCAGCCGGGGCCCCGCCTGCGAGGAGACAGGGGCCCCAGGCCTCTGAAGGGCTGACATCGCTGTCAGGGGAAGTGATCCTCCAGAATGATCCTGGAGCTGACTCGTGGGCGCCCGGCGGGCTTGCCCCTTCCCAGCTTCCTCTGGCTGCAAGGCGCTTTCTGAGCCAGCTGTGGTTGCTTGGCCAAGGTTCACGGTCACTGCAGCCTTCCTCCCCAGGCGCAGCAGGGAGGGGCCCTCAGACAGGCCCTGCGGCTCTGCTGGTCAGACTGTGGTGGTGGACAGCCCCGCACCCAAGTGCGTTCTGGAACCGGGGTGGGGGGCACTGGGGCAGACCCCCCCACCACCACTGTGTGACGCAGGTCAGCTCACTTCCCTCTCTGAGCCTCAGCTTCCTCATTTGAAAATGAGACCGGGAGACACGCCCTACTAAGCCTGTGAGCCTGCAGCCACGCAGTCCCCCCACTTTCCTGCACACCCCCACCCCGCCGGCTCCGCTCCTCCCTGCGGTTGGCAGAGTGCAGCGAGGGGCCCTCAGTTCAAGGCCTGGCAGGCATCACGCGGTGCAGTCCAGAGGCTGGGGGGGGGGGAGGTGGTCGCCCTTGCATTTGAGAGCAGGGTCTGTGAGCAGCCCATGGGGGCGGGAGCGGGGCCCCAGGAGCTTAACCTGGCAGGCGCATCCGCAGTTCCGTCTGCTGCTTCTGTCAATACGAGCCTTCCTGTTTTGGAGATTAAACCTCGACTGAGCAAACAGCTTGCAAGGAGGCCCCTCCCTGCCACCTCCCTACTCTGGCCTGTCCTGAGGCTGGAACCACCTGGAGGCGGGGAGTGGGTGGGGGGCAGCAGGCCAGGAAGGAGCCCCCGACCCCTAGTCAAGCCCCCACACCACACCCCAGCCCTCGCCCCAGCCCCCACTGACCCCCGCTGCGGCCTTCAACGGAAGTCCCCTGTGTAATCCTTCCGCCTTCCCCACCACCCTGCCTGCAGCATCCTCTGCCCTCAGGTGACCTCCTGCAGGAAACAGGGAGCAAGCCGCTGCTGGAGGCCCCGATGCCAGGCACACGCCCACCTGCTGTGAGCCCAGGCCTGGCCGGAGGGCCACCCCTGGAGGCCCCATGAGGCCCAAGTCTGCAGACAGACCTGTCATTTCACTGGTGATTTCCCCTCAGCCTCTTGGTATCGTGGGTGGGGAGTTTTCTGTTGTTTGGGGCCCGTCTGGTATGTAGCAGGACACTGAGCAACATGCCTGGCTTCCACCGACTAGATCCACTCGCAGACCCCAGAGGTGTGACAAGTAAAAACGTCTGCAGGGGGCCAAGATGACCGTCGGGCGAGGACGAGGACGGGGAGGGGGGCAAGCCCTGCAGACAGTGCACAGACAAGTCCTGCAGAGAGTGCACAGACAACGAAACCGGGACTGCAGAGGGCAGGCAGAGATCAGAGGCCCAGGCCTCCCTCCGACGCTGGCCTGGCCCAGGCTCTGTCCTGTCCCCCACCCCTTCCCACCAGGGTCCACCCACCTCCAAGCAACGTGGCCCTGCCCTCTTCCGAAAACCCTCCGCAGCCGCCGAGGAAGGGAGGAGGGCGCACCGAGGCCCAGGCGGCCCCCGCGCCCTCCCAGCCCCCTTCTTCTCTGACCACAAGGACGCGAGGCCCGAGGGTGGACAGACAAGCGGGGGCAAAGCCTCGCCTCCTGCGTCTCGGCTGAAGCGCAGTTGCTTCCCCTCCTTTGGTAAAGCCACCTGGGGCCACGTCCGTCTTGCTCACAAGCCCTGTGGCTCCCCAGGGCCTCCGGGCCTGAAGCTGAGGCTCCTGCAGGCCCATCTTCCACCGCTCCTCTCCCCACGCCCCATCTAAACACACTCTCTCCATCCCCCCAGGTGGCCCGGCCCTGCTTCCTTCCCCAGACATCAGCTGCAGAGTGGTGTGTGTGCCCAGTCGTGTCTGGCTCTCTGTGACCCCATGGCCTGTAGCCCACCAGGCTCCTCTGTCCATGGGATTCTCCAGGCAAGAGTACTGAAGTGGGTTGCTATTTCCTTCTCCAGGGGATCTTCCTGACCCAGGGATCGAACCCGTGTCTCTTCTGTCGCCTGCCTCGGCAGGTGGGTTCTTTACCCTGAGTGCCACCTGGGAAGCCTCGCAGGGCGAAGGTCACCATCCTCTCCTGGAAGCCTCCTCTGAAGCCTTGTACCCCAGCCCCAGCACGATGTGGATTCTCCCTCGCCCAGGCCCCCGGCACCCTTGGACCTGACGGAACTTCCAGCCCCTACCACCATCCGTCTGGGGAACAGCTGGACGCCAGCAGGCTCCTCCCCGTGAGACTGTGAGCTCCCCGGGCTCAGGGGTGGCCTCTCGGTCACCTCCTCCCTGCCCTGGAGCCAGATCAGATTGGAATGGAGCAAGGGCCCAGGGGTGTCCTTGGGGGTGAATGGACAGCCGGACGGACAGACAGACAGGTGGACAGATGGGTCCCGTGGTGACGGCTCATCCCCCTGTGGGTGTGACTGCCACGCCTAGGCACGGAGCCGCCCCCTCTTCCAGGCAGCCTGGAATATCAAAGGATGCCACCTCCCCCTACCCCGACTCCAGAGAGCAGGATGGAAGATAACACCCTCTCGCGTTACCGAGGAGGGTCCTGAGACCAGGGAGACAGAGACAAGCTCAGGACCACACAGGGCAGGAAGCAGGTTCGCTTGGAGCCAAGACAGCCCCCAGCTACCTCCACGCGGCCCCCGCCCCTGCTCCCCCGTCCTGGGGTCTGGTCCCACCGCACGGCCACAGGGTCAGGACTGGGGCAGGGGATCGCGCCTGGAGCCCGGCGGGCAGCATCACAGCCGCGGCCCAGCCCTGCCCAGCACAAGCCAGCCATTCTTGGCCAGACAAAGGCCGGCCGGGGCAGAGCGGCTCTGGTGTCTCCCTGGCGGGCGTCTGGCCCCCGCAGGACGTCAGCAGTGGGAAGTGGCAGTAGGGCCCTGCCACTGCGGGCTGCAAATCAGATTAGCCCCGGCCAGCCCCGGCACGGCCGTCAGGAAGAAGCGCAGCTGCGGGCTCTGGGCCTGCTGCCCTCACCACGGGCACGAACCCCACTCCCAAGCATGGGACGGCCCGACCTCCCTGTGGGGGCGAGGGCAGCCCTTTCCCCTCCGTGGACCCCGTGTCCCACCTGTGACCAACGTTCTGAGTGGGACCTTCCAGGCCTCCCCCGGGAGGCTCACTGGGAAGTGCAGGGGTCGTTGTGGGTGTCCACCTGCCCGGAGGTTCCATCCCCGGGGCCGGCTCAGTGTTCCGTGGGCAGCCCTGCCCGACCTCCTTACCCTGAGACCCACGTTCCCCTGAGTGGGGGTGGGTGCTGCAGAGGAAGGCGGGCTCTCCCGAGTCTCTGGACGACCGTGCGTGCACACGTGTCCATCCGTCCATCCGTCCATCTGTCCATCCGTCCATCCATTCGCCTCGGGGCCTTGTTCAGCCACCCGGGCCAAGTCAGCCTGGCTGCTCTGATTACGCCAGGCCCCAGGGTTCAGGTTGAGGAGCCAGGCGGCCGGCACACACTGGCACGTCACACTTGCAGAGTACCAGCCCCTCGCCAGCCCAGGGTTGGCGGGACGGGGTGGGGGGCAGTGGGGGAGGGCGGGCACCAGCTACATCCCCGAAGCAGCGTCGAGGAAAACCCCTGAGGCCCACAGAGAGAAGGAAACCGGCCCGAGACCACACCCCGCGGGGCTGGGGATGAGGGGTCCCGGGCGGGCAGGGCCAGGCTCGGGGCTTGTCCGCAGCTGTGGGCTGTCCTTCTCACGGGGGCAGCGCCACCCCAACAGCAGGAGCGGGAAGCAGCTGCCGGCTGCGCCCCCGCCCTCCTGCCCCGGAGCCTCCTGCCAGCACAGACTGTCCAGAAGCTTCTGGGTGGGGGCTTCCCGGGGCCACCGTAGCCATGCCACTCGCCGCTCTCAGGAAGCCCACAGGCTCCCTGGCACCCAGGTGCCCACGCTGCCCAAGCTCCCCCTTGAGAACTGGCTCTCGCATGTCGGTGTCAGAGGGGGCGCGTGAGCCCCCCAGGAGCACAGGGGTGGTCAGCGCCTCCCGTCCCTCTCTGGGCTGTTCCCGGACGCCGAGCAGGACTGCCATGGATGACTTCCTCCCAGTTAATGGCTCACCCATTATGTCTCCGGGATCTTCCCAGGAAACAGCCACTCAGGGAGGCTAGCCCAAGGCTCCGGGGCCCACGGGGAAGGAGCTTCTAGGGCCCTCTGAGACTGACTCCGTTTGCAGGGGGCCCCAGGCTGAGCCCCGACCGGGAAAGGGGGCCTGAGCTCAGATGGGTAGACAGCACGTCCTCCGAGCTTGACGGAGAGGCAGAGGAGGACTGCTCATGCGGGTCCCCTGTCCTCGGCCACCTCTCCACCCAGCCTCACAGACAGGTCTCAAGCCATTGGGTCACCCGGCTGCCCAGGAGCCCCGCGTGGGCTGGAGCAGGGGCCATGCTGAGCAGGGGTCAGACACCCAGGTGGCACCAGGCCCAAGTGCCTGGGCGAGAGGGCCAGGCTGCCGGCGTTCTGACCCACTGCCCATCAGCCCCTTATACGACAGATGATAGCACCATCCTCGTGTTACAGGTGGGGAAACCGAGGCTCAGAGGAGGTCCCAGGTCAAGGTCAAAACGCTGAGAAGTGAAAAAAAAAAAGCTGAGAAGTGGCCCCTCTGGGGTGGAAAGCAGTTAGTCTGGCTGCAGAAGCCCCCAGCCTCTGGGCTGTGTCCACATGCCTGAGCCTGGGGAGGGTCCTGGGACAGCCGCTCCCCCTCCCCTTTCCCAAGGGCCCTAAGGCACCAGGGGCTTCCTGACGACCAGGTCAGCCCTCCCCACCCACTCCCTGGCTCCCCACTTCCTGCCCTGGGCCCAGCACCTCCTCTATCACCCCCCCACCCCCGCTCCCTCAGAGCTGTTTGGCCCAATGGGTCCCTGGAGGGAGCCTTTGGGTCTAGGGTGAGGGCAGGGGAGGGGAGAGCCTCTGGCTGGAGCCAGCCTGGGGAAGGGGGCAGGGGCAGCTAGGGCGGCCACCCCCTCCAGTTTTCAGACCTCAAGGAGTCACCACGAAATTCCATTCTCCTGACAGCAAAGAGATTGAATCACTCTTGCCAAAGCCCACGGCCCCCACAAGAATGCCGCAGAGCTTTGTCCTGCTGTTCCCAGAAAGGCAGTCACACCCAGGTCCCCCCACTCCCACCAAGCCCGGCCGCAGAGAGGTGCAGAAAAGCCCCTGCCGACCTCTGACCCCGTCCAGTTGCTCCTGCTCCTTGCTCCCCGAGCACAATGCAGCAGAGCTTCCTGAGCCTCCACTTGCGTTCTGTACAATGGGCACATCACTCCCGCTGCCTGGTGGGCGGAAACCTCAGCAGCCAGGACTATGGGGGCCAAGAGCGCAGGTGGGAGCAGGCAGAGATGCTCCGGGTGCAGAGCAGGGGGTCCCACCCCTGGGGCGGGGCCACGGAGGAGCGGGCTCATGGGACCTCGTCAGGGTCAGGCAGGAGTACGGGTGGCATGGCTGTCCCTCCCTCCGCCCCCTTGCAGAACCCTCAGCACCTAGTGGTGCTGCTTAATACGGACGCCGACCAAGGACCCCAGGTGCCCTGACCGCTCGTGCGGAGACTTCGGGGCATGACGGTTTGGGGCTGTTAGAGAACTGGGAGGCATTGCAGGCAAGGCACGAAATGGAGCTGGGACCTAGGTGGGAGGGAGGTGGACACTGGGCCAGGAATTGAACTGAAAAGAGGCCATGCATGCATGTGCGCTAAGCCGCTTCATCTGTGTCCCGACTCTTTGTGACCCTATGGACCACAGCCTGCCAGGCTCCTCTGTCCATGGGATTTCCCAGGCAACAATACTGGAGCGGGTGGTCATTTCCTCCTCCAGGGGATCCTCCCAACCTGGGAAGAACCTGCATCTTTGATGTCTCCTGCATTGGCAGGTGACTTCTTTACCACTAACACCACTTGGGAAGCCCCCAGAGGCCATAGGGAACCATCAAAGGTTTGGACCTGCGTGCATGATTAGAGCTGTGTGGTTCTGAGTGGAGAATCAATACAGCAGGTAGGCTGGCAGGAGGACCCGCATGGAGGCGGCTAAAGAGGTCCAGGGGAGAGACAAAGGCTGTGGGGGAGGCTCCCTATCAACCTAGCCCAGACCTGGGATAGCAGTGGTGGTGGGGCGAGGGAAAGTGGGCATAGAGACCCTTCAGACAGGACTGGAGCTGTGCTGGGGCTTGGCTGACCCCTGCCCACTCCCACCTCTGCAGCCGAGGAGAGGCTCCCAGGCTGGCTCCCAGGCTGGCTCCCATCAGTGGGGAGGAGTTTATGGCAGGAGGTGACTCCATGGGAGTCTTGTCACTTGGGCACAGCCAGCACCATCTGCTCAGGCATCTGCCTGCCTGGGGTGGCGCCTGCTAATTACCTTGGGGGTGGATACAGGAAGAGGCCTGGGAACTCCCATCCCCCACTGCACCCCATCATAGAGGGGCAGGGGATAGGGCCCCAGGGCCCTAAGAACAAATGGGCCAGGTGAGAATCGCTGAACCGGGCCAGACATCTACACAATAAATCTTTTTTTTTTTTTTTTTTTTTTAGTTGCACTGGGTCTTAGTTGCAGCAAGTGAGATCTAGTTCCCTGACCAGGGAGGGAACCTGTGGCCCTCTGCATTGGGAGCTCTGTGTCCTAGCCACTGGACCACCAGGGAACTCCCTACACAATACATCTTTATAGAGGGCTTACTGTGTTCCAGGCCCTCATCTCTGCAGGTGACATGCAGAGGAGGGAGCAGGACCACGAAGGGTGCTTTGGAGCAGACGTAGAGGCTGCGAAGAAAATGGACCAGTGGGCAGAGCCAGAGCTAAGAGGAGGACCAGTGTAGCCGAGGTGCTCCCTCCTTAGGAGGGGATGCGAGGGACTGGGGAGGGAGGGTGAGGAGGCGCAGCCAAGCGGAGAGCCGCCCCTGGCTGCGCTTCCGGAAGACGCTGCGGGCTCGGGGCTCAGACTCTGATTTCGCCACGGGGAGCCCTTGGCCACTTCCTCGCCCCTCACCCTCAACGCGGGCTGCCGGCGCGCATTCCTGCCGCCGCTGCTCGTGCGGTGGGCTGGCCCAGCCCGTGGGAAGGGCCGGGGGTGGGGGCCCGCCGTGTGCCTGGGAGGCGGAGTCGGGGCACAGCTGGGCCACCCGTATCTGGCCCGAGCGCAGACGGACCAAATGGGACAGAAGGCGGCCTTTCATCCCGCGCGGGGAGGCGCGGCCTCGGCCTCGGATTTCGGGGCACCCACCCTCTCCCCCGCCTCGACGTTCGGACGAGAGGCGGGAATTCGCTCGGGTCTAGGGATGTAATCTGGTTAGGTGTTTTCCCGCTGGAACCTCGTGTCCCTACCTGTAGCTCAGCTGGCTAAGCCCTTCCTCGGCTTTATTAATAAGGGCTGCTCTGGACGGAGCGCTGAGGTCCACCAATCCTGTGAACCGGCCTGCGCCAGCCCTAGCGGAGGAAGCCGGCTCGGGGAGGGGAAGTGCCCAGCGGGGAAGGACGGACGTCCCCCGCGGGACGTCTGAGTCCAGAGTCCCTGTCCCGGAATCGCCGTCAGAGCGCTGAGGGCGCGCCCCTCCGTAGGCCAGACGTGGAGCTCCGGCCCCGCGCTGACCGGCCTGGGTTTTTCCCCTTCAGGGCCACCGGGGCGGGGCGGGGCGGGGCGGGCCCAAGTCCCCGCGCCCCCGGCTGCCCGCGTGGGGCGATCCGGGCGGGACGGGGCGGGGCGTGCACGTGCGGACCGGGGGCGAGAGAGCAGGGGGCCGGCTCCTCGGTTCCCAGACCCCCGCCGCGGTCCCACGTGGGCGCTGCCGGGCGTCAGGGGCGACGCGCGAGGCCCCGCCCCTGGGGACCCGGGAGCCAGTGAGCTCGCGCCGAAGGCGGGGCCTCGCGCGAAGCCACGCCTCAGGGGCAGAGCCAGGCCGGGGCGGTTTAAGAGCTCGGGCCGCGGGCGGGCCGCCGTTGGACGTGCGGCGGGACCCCGGAGCCTCGGCGCGGGTGAGAGGGGCCGGGCGCTCCGCGCTGCCGCCACCCCACCATGCTCAAGCGCTGCGGCCGCCGCCTGCTGCTGGCGCTGGCGGGCGCGCTGCTTGCCTGTCTGTTGGTGCTCACGGCCGACCCGCCGCCGCCCCCGGTGCCCGCTGAGCGCGGTAGGCGCGCGCTGCGCAGCCTGGCGGGCCCCTCGGGGGCGGCCAGGGCGCCCGGGCTGGAGGCGGCGGCGGCGGCGCCCGGGGCGCCCGTCCGCGAGGTGCACAGTCTGTCCGAGTACTTCAGCCTACTCACCCGCTCTCGCAGAGACGCGGGCCCACCGCCCGGGGGCGTCCCCCGTCCCGCCGACGGCCGTCCGCGGTCCCCGGTCGAGCAGCTGGCGCCGCGCGACGTCTTCATCGCGGTGAAGACCACCAAAAAGTTTCATCGCGCGCGTCTCGACTTGCTTCTGGAGACGTGGATCTCGCGCCACGAGGAGATGGTGAGCCCCCGCAGGCTGGGCAAGTGGGCAGGGGAGGAGGTGCCCGCTTGTCCAGCTGGTGGCAGCAACCAGTGGGCGCCAGGCTGCCTGTCTGTACCGCCACCGGGAATTTCGGGCGTAGGGATGCCGGTTCATGCCCTTCCAGCCGTTTGCCTGATGTGGAAGTGCAGGGTGGGACTCATTCCCCAAACACCGCGGTCAGCGGCCTGCACTGAACCTTCGCCAGCCACCGGTGCCTTTGGCGCCCGGCGGTGCTTCTTGCCTTCAAACCCTGGAACTCATCAGCTGGGAATTATTGTCCCCAAGCCTTCCCAAGGCGGATTCCGCGTGGGGCATCCTCCCTGGGCTCTCACCCTTCCCCGGGAGGAAGACTCTTTCCTGAGAAGTGGAGCGAAGGGTTAGGATCCCTGGGCACAGGGCCAGACCTGTCCCCCATCCCAGCCTTTGCAATGAGATGGGGGACAAGTCGCTGTTGAAGTTGGGAGTGGGTGTTGGTGGGGGCCCTGGGGGGGTCCATCTCCGAAGAAGAACGAGGGAGCACGCCCTGGGTCTCGGGGTGTGTTCTGGGGCCCGTGCTCCACAGTGCAGAAGTCTTTGGAGCCTGGGACCTAGAGCTTAGCACATCCTAGTTGAGTACTGACTTCCTCCACACACATAATAAAGACACACCCCACTTTGAAAAATCTCCCTCCAGGCTGCAGCTGGATGGTTGGGTTGGGGCAGGATGGGGGCAGAGTGTGAGCGCTGCTGGGGAGAGGGTGGGGGAATTCCCTGAACTGGGAGATACCAGGGACTGTCTGAGTATTTGGGATGAGGGTGAAGGACCCTTGACCAGGCTGGGGGCTCAGAGAAGACCCTGCCTCTCTTCCTCCCTGTTGAAACCCTCGAGGCCTGGGGGCCTCCTGGCCTGGCTGAGCCCTGTTCAGGGGCAGGGCTCCGACGAGGTCACGATGAGGGCCAGGGGAGCAGGGTCCTCCTGGTCCCAGCGTGGGGAGGGGGCCCTGGGAGCCCCACGGCAGCCTCCTGGGAACACGGCGTCCCTTTCCCAGGGGCTCAGCAGGCTGGCAGGAGGGGGCGGCGGGGGCTGCGGGTTTTGTTTGGCTGCTGGGCCGTTAGGATTCCCAGCGCCGGGCGGCTCTCACGCCGGCCGCTCGGGCAAGGTAACAAAGCCCCTTTCTCCAGTGGAGAAAGGCGTCCGGCCTCTTGTGTGCAGCTATGTGCTCCATGGGAACCGCCGCCGGCGTGCTGGCCACTCAGGTTGCCTGGCGATGACGGCCTGCAGCCCCCCCCCCTCCAGTGACAGCACTTGCGGGGCGCCGTCCCCGAGCCAGGCACCACCCCCAGGACTCTGCCTGCCTGCTCTGTGACCTTTGGCAGTGCTCAGCCCCCTCTGGGCTGCCACCAGCCCTGAGCACCTCTCATCGGACTCTGAGGACTTCCTCCAGCAGAGGGGATATGGTCAGGGGCGTCTCGGGGAGCAATTCCGGCCAAGCTAGGTGACCCTGGGCATGACCAAGGGCCTCTGTGGCTCTCAGTCCGCTCACCTCTGAAATAAGGAAGGCACTGGCCTCTGGTCCGGGTTGTGAAAGAGGACGGCCCAAACCTGGAGAGGCAGGGAGGTCACGACCTTCCCCACTGAAGGTTCCCTTCTCACTAGCTGACCACACCCGGGAGAAGCCAAATCTGACTCCCAACAGTCAGTTCGTGTGTCCTGTCTAGCAAGAATCCCTCTCATGGTGTCCTGTGGGCGAGGGGTCCTTGAAACTGTTCCAACAGAGAGACCTCCCCTCCCAACCCTGTCTGTGCAGGGTGCTTCAGACCCGGTGTGATGGGGGAGACTCCCGGAAGTCAGAGCTGTGGTGGGGGAAACCCACAGAGGCTGTGTGAGCTGCAAGGGGGGCATCTGACCCGGGTTGGAGAGGGAGGGACTTCCTGGAGGAGGTGCCATTTGAGCTAGACGGAGAGCAGGACATGCTCTGAAAGGGCAACTGGGCATCTTGAACACAACCTGCAGGGCGTGCAAGAGACTTCCAGCCTTTGGAGAGGCTGGGGCGGGGTGGTCAGCAGGGGCCACGTGATGACAGGTCCAGGGTGAGGGGCTGGGCCCTCGGCCCGCACTTTGCTCCCCCGTCCCTTCCAGGCGTGGGCCAGGCTGCGGCGGCTGCCACCACAGCGGCCACAATTGTCGGGGGGAGAGCTTGGCATCCTGTGTTTCTTTGAATCGCAGCTCCAGGAACAATGCCGCTTCCTGTGGGGGTCCCCCCGCCCGCCCTCCGCCAGCCCTGCCGCCCTGCCGCCCGGCTCTTCCTCCCCCAGCCCTGCCGCCTCAGGGAAGTGGGGAGGGGTCTGCGGGGGCATGGCTGGCGGGGACCAGCAGCACCTCTGTCCTGGGGCGTGCCCGCAGGCCGGGGCCCGCCTCTCTGCGGGCCTCTGTTTCCCCGCCTGTATACTCGAGAAGGGACGGTGCCCTCCTCCCCGGCCATGCGGGAGCTGGAAGAAGAGAAGGAGCTGGGTGCTCTGCTCCGGGCGCGAGCTCTGGTTACGCCCATTGCACAGAGGGCGGAAACTGAGGCTTGGAGCCGCGGGCGAGGCCCGTCCCCTCCTCTCCTGACTGCTCTGATGTGGCGAGACAGGAGGCCCGGCACCCTCACACCCCCACAGCCCCACGCCTCCGAGCGCTCCTCTCTGAACAAAGGTGACTTTAATCTCTGTAGCCTTGGGCTGGGTTTTTAGGGCACCACCGAAGCGCGGGAGAACAGGCCTCGCTTGATCTCATTAAGAAAGCATTTTCCTTTTAATCCAGTGGCGGCAACGGCGCGTCTGCACGGGCCGGCCTCGGCCTCCCACGGCATTCCTGGGCCAAGATGCTGGAGAGCAGGCGGGGGGCTGGATGCGAGTCCGTGCGTGCGGGCGCCCTGGGGTGTCTGCTGGGGAGGAGGGCACCGTGCGTGCAGCGGGCGGGAGGGGCCCGTCCACCCTCCCTCCCTCAGTGCCTCCCAGGCCCACCCAGCTGGCGGCCTCACCTGAGCGTGTGCCCGGGTCTGGGCTCAGGCTGGACCGGGAGCCGGGGCTACCAGGTGAGGGTGGGCACCCCAGGTGGGTCCCCCAGCTCCCGAGTACACATTGCATCAGGCCTGCACACGCTGGCGCCTCCCTCGTGCCCGTTTGTCCCCAGGAGGAAACCAGGGCCCGGAGGCCACAGAGGTGGTGGTGGGGGGGTGTCTCCTGCTGCCTGCGCTCACAACACCCTCCGCCAGGCCAGGCTCTGCACTCGGCACGCCTGGGTGCGCTGGGCGGCACGCGCTGGGCGGGCGGCAGAGGAAGGAACATTCCTCCCCGTGTGCCGACGGGCCCAGGCGGGCGCGGACAGCTCCTGGCCCCTCCCCCCTTCCGTTGAGCGATCCTGGCAGGGGTGGAGGACCCAGGCTGGCATAGCTGGAGCTTCGACGTGGCCTCGAGCGAGGCCTGTCTGCGAGCCCAAGCTGTGGCCGCTGACCCTTGTGCGGAGCCGTGAGCCCGTGCGGTTTCCCGGCCCAGCCCCACAGACTAGTCAGCGTCTCCGGAAAACCCTGGGGGCTGCTTTGGCTCTGGGAAGGCGACTGCCTCGGTGGGCTGGCCACGCGGCCGGCGGTGCTAGGGGCCCGTCCTGAGGGTGCAGCCTGGGGGACCGCGGGGCTGTAGCCACACCCCTGCCCCGCCAGACCTTGTACCCAGCCTGGCCCAGTTAACCAGGCCAGCTGTATGGTAATGGGCCGTGCGGCCACTCCCGCTTAACGCGGCCCGGGACAGAGCTGGCGGACAATGCTGGTGACTCACCCTCCCTGCGGGCCCTTTGTCCGCCAGGGCCTGGCAGCCGCCCAGCGGAGGCCTTTGTCCCCGACTGATTGAGATCTGGCTTCCCGAAGCCGCCCCCTCCGCCTGTGCCCTGCCCCTCCCGCAGGCACTCTGTCAATAAGGGTGTGTGCTCGCCAGGCGCCCAGGGCGGGCCGCGCGCGGTTACCTGGCGGGGGGCGGGGCGCCACACCTGGCTCGTGCCGCCGCAGCTGCTGCCCGGCGACCTTGGGCGCAGCTGTCGCCGTGGGCGGGGGTGGGGTGGGGGTCCTTCCCGAGCCCCCAGCCCACTTGCACTCAGAGTAGGCCCTGGAGCCCCGCTCTGCATGGGGGGGCGGGTGGAAACGGAAGCTCCAAGGTGCGGCGTGGGCATGAGGGGTCCCAGCCCTGGGCCCCGCGGTGGCCGGGGCGGCCCCCGAGCTGCCCGTTCAAGACCGCGTTTCTCCCTGCAGACGTTCATTTTCACGGACGGGGAAGACGAGGCGCTGGCCAGGCGCACCGGTGAGCCCTGGGTGCGGGGAGGCGAGGGGGCCCTGCTGGGGGGAAACGTGCCCCTCGGGAGAGGTCGCCGGGCCGAAGGCCTGGGAGGGCAGTTTACTCAACGGGTTTGCTCAGCGCCCCGCCCCACCACTCACCCACCCCCAATTCTCATGCAAATGAGGCCCTTTCAGCTCCTGGGCCCTTTGAGCTGACGTGGCGGCAACAGGTGGCTGGTGCTGGGAAAAAGCAGCCTGAATGGGCGGGGGCGGGGCGGGGCGGGGCGCCCCGCGAGGTGGTGCTGGGGGGTGGGGTCTGCAGGCCGGGGTCCGGCTCAGGGGGAGGGCTTGAGTGGGGTGGCCACTGCAGGCACTTCTTGAACCCAGGGCGCCCCGGGACAGAATGCCACCTCCCCCCCCTTTCTTGCTCTGCTTTTCCCGGGCCTGCTGTGTGACCCCAGGCCAGGTCGCCGTCTCTGAACCGCCTCGGACCCGCTCACAGCCCCTCCCCTTGTCCGCAGGCCATGTGGTCAACACGAACTGCTCCGCCGCCCACAGCCGCCAGGCGCTGTCTTGCAAGATGGCCGTGGAGTATGACCGCTTCATCGAGTCGGGGAGGAAGTGAGTGCCGGCCTCTGGCGGGGCCCCGGGAGCGTCCCCTGGTGGGGCTCCGGCCCTGGCAGTCCCACCGCACCACGCCCCCGTGACGGCCCTGCTTTCCCACCCCAGGTGGTTCTGCCACGTGGATGACGATAATTATGTGAACGTGCGCGCCCTGCTGAGACTGCTGGGCAGCTACCCGCACACGCAGGACATTTATCTGGGCAAGCCCAGCCTGGACAGGCCCATCCAGGCCACGGAGCGGGTCAGCGAAAACAAGGTGGTGAGTGTCCCCCCCCCCCCCCGGACGCCAGCCTGCACCGCCGCGCGGGGAGGAGGCTGGGGGTGCCCCGCGGCCCGGCACCAGGGGTCTGGGAGTCTCACCACGTCCCCCCGCCCCCGGCTCCCCACAGCGTCCTGTCCACTTCTGGTTTGCCACCGGCGGGGCTGGCTTCTGCATCAGCCGAGGGCTGGCCCTGAAGATGAGCCCCTGGGCCAGGTGAGTGCCCTGGGGCGCAGGTGAGGCTGCCTCCGATCTCCCAGGGTCCCCTCACGGCCGGCCTGGCGCGGCTCATCTTCCCAGCACCAGTGTCCCCAAACCTCACGTCCTCCGGCAGGGTGAGTCCCCCCCACCACCGCCCGCCAGCCACCAGGGGGGTCAGGACCCCGTCCTGCATCTGGTAACCCCCCACCGCCCCGCCCCGCCCCGCGCAGGGGAGTCCTCAGGCTTGTACGGAGGAGGGGGCTGTCCTGGGGCCCAGGGAGGCTGGGAGCGGCCCCGCGGGGCGCGCCCACCTCCTGCTGGAGCCGGCCGGCCGAGCTGCGCGCTGCCCGCTGGGGCCCCGCCCGGCGCCCGCTCGCTCACTGCGGCCCCCGCCCTCCCCCCTGCAGCGGAGGCCACTTCCTGAGCACGGCCGAGCGGATCCGGCTGCCGGACGACTGCACCGTCGGCTACATCGTGGAGGCGCTGCTGGGCGTGCCCCTGGTGCGCTGCGGGCTCTTCCACTCCCACCTGGAGAACCTGCAGCAGGTGCCTGCCTCCGCGCTCCACGAGCAGGTGTGCGCGCAAGCGTGCGGGCCTGGAGGAGGGCGTCTGGGAGAGGAGGGCGGAAGGAGGTGGGAAGTGGGAGGGGGATGGGGCCGCGGAGGGACCGCGGCTTTGAATAGGTCACCAAAGGCCCGGCTGTTGGTTGCCACCACCCAGATCTCCCCAGCAGCAGTCCCGTGGTCTGTCCGTCCTGCCTCTGTCTTCAGCCGGACTCCTACTCTGAGCCTTTCGGGTCTTCCCTGTATCCACAAACACTCCCTCGCTGTAGCTGGCGAGACCGCCGCCGCAGCTGAAGCTCCCTTGGGCCTTACTCCCGGGGCTGCAGAGCAGGGGGCGCAACGAGGACCTGGCTTCTCAGCCAGAGGTGGGCAGAAGGCCAGGCTGTCCCCTCGTGCAGAGCTGCACACGTGCCCGCCTTGGGCAGAGCCGGGTAGGGTCGCCTTGGCACCGCAGCCCCCAGCATCACCCTTTCCGTCTCTCTGCAGGTGACCCTGAGCTATGGCATGTTTGAAAACAAGCGGAACGCGGTCCACATCAAGGGGCCCTTCTCGGTGGAGGCTGACCCTTCGCGGTGAGGAAAGGGAGGCCTAGAGGGGGCGGGCTCACGGAGGTCCCTGGGGTCCGCTGCAGCTTGGGCAGAGCTGGAGCGCCCCCAAGGCGTCTGCTCGGGTGGAGCAGGGCCCCCAGCCCGCACGGACGAGCCCCCGCTCTGTCCCCACAGGTTCCGCTCCATCCACTGCCATCTGTACCCGGACACGCCCTGGTGTCCCCGCACTGCCATCTTCTAGCGGTCGTGGCTGAAACCCCGTTCCCGGGCGCCCCTGGTATCCAAAGGGCCCGAGGACCCCTGTCATGCCGCCCCGGCCTGGGCCTTCGAGGCTGCCCCGGGGCTGCGCCTGTGTGTGTGCTGTGAGCCCATCCCTGTAGCAGACTGCTGGGCAGCTCTTCTCTGCCAAGGGGCAGGCAAAGTCCTGCCTGTCTCTCCGTCTGTCTGTCCGTGTTCCACCCCGGAAGGATTTGTGTGTCAGAGGTCACTCTGAGGGCAGTTTTGTTACCCTTTCGGGGTCTCTGGGCAGCATGGGGCCCAGGGGCTGCTCTGCAGGGACATGTGGGCGCCTTTCCATCCTGCTGAGCGAAGGCCCATGGCCGTGGGCACCTGCCCCCCCGGGACCCTGGCTCCCTGCTCAGAGCCTCCAGGACAGCTCCCTGTGTCCAGCGCGAGGAAGCTGGGTTTGGGGGAGTGCCCTGAGCCCCCTTGCGCTGAGCTCCGGCCTGGGTACCACGGCTCCGAGCGACAGCAGCCCCAGCGACCTTGCTGCTGGGTGGAGCATCCCGGGCAGGGGTCTCGCCTGCTCTCTCAGCCAGCTTCCCTTTGTGATGGGGAGTCAGCTGAGCATTTTAACTCCTCTCCAAAGTAGAGAGAAAGTCGCCCATAGTGGGTGTGTCTGTAAATATTGTGACAGTGTTTTTTACTGTGACTGTTTCTTGAAAGGGGGTGGGTAAAAAAGTAGGGTGTTTTTGTCTGTGTTTTCAGGGGCTTGGGGAAGGTGTTATCTTTTCTGTGGATCAGAAAAAGCAGAAGCCAAACTTGGGATAGTCTTTGCTGTTAAAGCTGATGGAAATGTCTGACACTCTGTGTATTTATGTGTCATGATATCTGGTCTCTCCCTGCCCACCTCCTTCACAGAACCTGTCTCCTCCCAGCCCAGCTCGGCGCACCTGACCAGTGAGGTGTGTTTTGCGTTCTGTTTTTCTTTCTGCAAGACACAGCTAGGAAAGTGAGCGATAAGGGAAACGTTCTCAGGGAATTGACGTGTGTTGCTATGGTGACGTCCTTTGCTGTGAATAAAGATGCTCTTTGGGGCAACCTAGGGGTCCTGGTCTTGGCTGGAAGTGGCGCCCAAGATGCAGGTTCATGGAAGCTGGCTCTGGGGGCTCGCTGGCACTCATGTGGGGTAGGTATGGACAGCCAACTATCATGGGATGGGAACTTGGGCTCAGAATAGCAACTTGCACGTTCCTGAGAGGCCCAGGAACTTGGGTGGCCAGCCCAGGGCAGCCTCAGGTGTAGGGGGAGATCTCACGTGATCAGACACGCTGCCCTTAGACTCCGCAGCCCCAGCATCTGCAGACCCGGCCCGGGACGGCTGCCAGGGAGTCCAGTCCTCCCTTGAGGGCGACAGGTTCGCCGTGGTTTGGCCTGGGACCTCCTTACCCAGCTTCGTCCCTGTCACAGACCATCCAGGCCACCTTCTTGCCCCCATTGTGCAGATGGGGAGACTGAGGCTCAGAGCAGGTGACGGCCAAGGCCAGGCAGCTGCGCTGGTGAAGAGCTCCAGGTCTGAGATCGGGCTGGCCTGGATCCTGGCCTCACTCCCGACCCTGCCCACCCCTGCCCGTGCTCTTGACCCTGCACGGTGGCAATGTTTTCTATGTAAGGCAGCTCTTCAGGCCCTTCCTCAAATCAGCCTGTGTGATGTGGGGTGGGGAGGGCCTGCTCTGGCCTCTGGGGGAGTCCCCTCCCTGGGCCCGGGGCAGTCCTCACTTCCTCTTCCTCAAATAGCCCAGACAGGCTGCCCCCCAGCCCCACCCGCAGCCCCCAGCTGCCCCTGCCCCCGCCCCGCGGGTCCTTGCTGGGATCTGGGGCTCCTCCCACTGCTTCTGCTCCCCAGTGCCCGCCGCGTTCCCTGTTGGCACATCTGAGGACAGACCGAGGGTGGAGGAGTGGCTCTCCTCCCACCCCTGATGTGGGGACAGAACCGCCCCCCGCCACACTGCCCTACTCAGCACCCCCACTGGGTTGGGGAGGGCGCCGCTTCCGCACGCACTGCCGGTGCCCGCTCTGGCCCGGGGAGCAGGCGGCCGGCGCCTGACCGGGCCCACCTGGGCCTTGTGCAGCCCTGAGTCAGCGCGTGATTTGCCCAGCAGCTGCCCTGGGGGTGCGGCAGGGACAGGAACAGTGCAGGAGAGACGGCCCCTCGCCGTCACACAGCCTGACCCTGTTGGGTACGCCCCCAGAGCCCGCTGTGCCAGGCTGGGCAGGCGTGGGGCGGTCACAGCAGAATTTGCCGCTGTGGGCAGAGGCCGCGGGTCTCCTTCCGGCTGGCGTGAGTCAGAGGAGCCTCTGCCTGGAGCAGACCCGCGGCCTGGCGCCCTGCCCCCAGTGGCTGGCATCGCCTCCCCATGGAGCGGCGGGGCCCTGGGGTCCAGGGGTAGGCATTGAGGATCACAGCTGGTCTGGGCTGTCCCGGCGGCGGAGCAGGGAGCCCGGGGTGGGGGTGGGGGAGTCTCCGCCTCCATGTGGGAAATGGGGGTCAGCATGAGGCAGCTGAGCCCCTGGCCTCCGGGCAGTGCCATGGAGGGGCAGGCCTGGGGCACCCTGGCCCATTCCTCCTCAACACGAAGCTGAGTGAGGGGGGACGGGCTCCGTCCTCCAAAGGGGAAGCGGTCCAGGAGGCTTTACAGGAACAGGCATCCGCCGCCCCGGGGGCGCGGGAGGCGGCCCTCCCCCAGTGAGTCATGGAGAGGTGCCCTCCCTCCTCCGGCGGGCACGGCCTGGGGCACCCATGCCCCACCCCTGGTGGCATTGGCGCTCCCCGCGCATTGGGCTGAGGGCTGGTTGGAGACGGTCCTGGCCGGCTCAAGCAGCTCTGCGTCCCCCAGTCTGGCCCTCCCGAATGGCGGGTCGCTGTGGGCTTTCAGAAACGAAATGTAAAAGCACAGCCCCGGGGGCCACTGGGCACCCCAACCCCGCTCTGCCTCTGGCTCCAGAGCTGCCCACGGGTGAGGGCCTGGTTAGCTGGCCAGAGCAGAGGCTGAGCCATGTCTCAGAGGGGCTGAGACGGGTGCCAGGATGGGGCCCGCCTTGTTGCGTTGAAATGAACCTCCTTCAGCTGGGCCATCACAGTTAACTGCCCCGAAGAGGCCCACCTGAGCTGGAGCAGGAAGGCTCTGTAGAGGGCAGCGGGCAGAGGAAGACGCTCCAGGCCCCGGCACAGACTGGAGGTGGGGCTCGTCAGATGTCTGGAGACAGGGTGGTCCCCACGGCCCTTGTCCACCTGGCCCATGGCTGCCCACAAGTCTCCATCCACGCTTCCAGAGGCCAGACCCTGCTGCAGGTTCAGCCAGCCGTGCCCTCTCTGGGCCTCGGGTCGGGGCCTCGGGGGCACCAGAGCCAGCCCCGTTCTTCTGTCAGACCAAAGGCCAGTCCTCTTGCCACCCCAGCCTCGCCCTCACCAAATGTTCTTGAAGGTGACCTCTTCCCCAAGTCCAGCCCGGGGCTGGACACAGAAGGCACGTGGTCCATTGTCACTAGGAGGGGACCAAGGGGCCCGGGGGGCTTCTCATCTCGGCCCCTGGAGGTTGCCCAGATCATGTCTCCATGCTGAGTCTGGGGGCTCAGAGCTGTGGCTGCCTCCCCCGCCACACGCCCCTATTCCCCCTGCCCAAGCGGCGGGCAGCCCCTTGCATGACCCGCCACGGTCCTCGGGCGCCGCCTGCTGGCCAGAGTTGGTGGTTCCTCGCTCAATCCGAATCCACCTTTTCCAGGACCCTCTTTTTTGGCTCCAAAATCACTGCAGATGGTGACTGCAGCCATGAAATTATAAGATGCTTGCTCCTTGGAAGAAAAGCCATGACCAACCTAGACAGCATATTAAAAAGCAGAGACAATACTTTGCCAACAAAGGTCCATCTAGTCAAAGCTATGGTTTTTCCAGTAGTCATGTACAGATATGAGAGTTGGACTATAAAGAAAGCTGAGCGCCGACAAATTGATGTTTTTGAACTGTGTGTGGTGTTGGAGAAGACTCTTGAGAGTCCCTTGGCCTGCAAGGAGATCCAACCAGTCCATCCTAAAGGAAATCAGTCCTGAATATTCATTGGAAGGACCGATGCCGAAGCTGAAACTCCAATCCTTTGGCCACCTGGTGCGAAAAACTGATTCATTGGAAAAGACCCTGATGCTGGGAAAGACTGAAGCGGGGAGGAGGAGGGGACGACAGAGGATGAGACGGTTGGATGGCATCACCCACTCGATGGACATGAGTTTGAGCAAGCTCCGGAAGTTGGTGAAGGACAGGGAGGCCTGGCGTGCTGTAGTCCACGGGGCCGCAAAGAGCTGGGCACGACTGAGTGACTGAACTGAACTGAACCTGATCGATGGGTGCAGCCTGGGATCGATGGGAGGAAGACCATCTCTGCATCCTCTTGCTTGCTCTTCAAAGTTCACATCATGAATCTTTGGTTATTATCAATATTTGGTATATTACCAGTATTTGGAATCTACTGTTATTACCAGTGTTCACTTTCTGAAGTACATGTGCTGTCAAGAGGCAAGCTTGAGCCTCCTGAGGCAGGCCTCCCAGGGGCCCTGTCCCCTGGCTCTGGGGTATGGCTGGTGGCTGCATCTCCTCATGGCCCATCCTGGTGGAATCCCCAGACCCTTGCCAAGTGACCGCTCATTTCCTTTTTGAATGTGGTGTTCACAGCTGAGCCCCAGTCACTGGGAACTTGCTGGGAATGCAGAATCCCTGGCGGGCCCCTCCGACCGTCCTGCCCTTGCCCCTCGTCCTCCGAGGACTCGGCGCCCCCTGCTGGACATCTGCCATCCTCACACCTCGCTCCTGACGATGCTCTTGCTGCCCCTAGGCCATGCCCCTGCCGCAAACAGGGTCATAACCTCTGCTGCCCCCTCCCCGATGTGGGTATCCACAGACCCCCTCGTTCTGGGGCGATCTGGACTCCTATTTCATGGCCACACTCTCCCACACTGCTCCTGGGGACTTGGTGTCAGTGACCCTTCCCATACCCTTGGCATTTCCTCCCCCAGCGACCTGCAGGCAGCCACACCCCCACCCGGTCTTGGCTGCCACTCCACCCAGACCTCACCTACCCCGCGGCCGCAGCATCCTACTTTGCCCCCGCCTGCTGTCTGTCCAGCTCACTCCCTCCCATTTCCTGACCCCACAGGACCCCAGATTCCTCACCCCTGGAGGGCTTGTCCTCCCCCTGGCTGAAATCTCCAGGTTCAATCACGCCCTTGAAGTCACCTTCACCTCCCTTGGCCTCTCTGGCTTCCACATCGTCTCTTGGTCAAGTCTGCAGCCTCTGACCTGTTGCATCCGGCCCGCTGCCCGCTCACTACCCACAGCTGGGTGGCTGGAGGGGCTGAGTCTCACCTGAGTTCCAGACAAAGTGCCTCAGGGGCCTCTGGGGGGCTCACTGCCCCTCACACAGCACCCCCACTTCCTCTCCAGCCTCCTCTACCTTGTAAGACCTTCTGCACCCCCAGCCCCAAGCCACCCATATGCTCTTGGCCCAGCGGGAAGGGAACACACTCCCGTCTGCGGCCAACCCCTCACTGGGACTGAGGTCCCAGCCCCTCTTGGTAACTCAGGAACATCGCTCCGCAAAGAGCTCTTTCCTTTTCCCGGCTGTGGCCATCTCCTCTGCCTACAAGATCATCACCATCAGAACATTTCCCCATCTTCAAACACACACACACACACACACACTTCTCTGGGTCATACCCCCTCCAGCTATAGCAGGATTTTTCTGGCTTGCAGCTAAACTCAAGAGGAGAGTCAACTTCTGTTGTCCCCACGTGGCACTGCAGAAGCACAGAGCCTCAGATGTGTCCCCCCGCCCCACCCTTTAAAAACTTATGTAACCTGGGCCTCTTTCCCCAGGAATCAGGCAAATCGGAAACCACTGGACCAGGCTGCTGATGTGTGCTGGAGGCAAAGGCTCCGCCCAGTGTCCTTGCCAGCCCAGGCACCCCCGGGGGCGAGAGCCGGGAGCCTGGGTGTCTTCCCTGGAGCCTCGCGGCTCCCTTTGCCCACCTGTGCGCCTGGCACGTGATACAGATTCTCTCCTGGGCAAATGTGCCTCCCCCAATTCCACAAGGCCTGAGGGTCTCCCTGTGAGGTGGGGGCGTGTGTCTTGCCACCCTGGGTCATGTGCCCTCAGGGACAGCACCGCACCTTCCCCAGCCGGCTTCTCAAATGAGAACAAGAATGATCCTTCCTACCTCGGTGGGCGGGGTGCGGGTCCCGGCTCAGGTCACTGATACGATTCTGAGGAGGCGCCCCAGGAACCGGAACCCCTCCTCGGGTTACACCGGGATGCTCCTGGGGACACGCCGTTTGGCCTCTCTGCCCTCCTCCAACGGCCCTGCCCAGGGCCAGCTCTGTCACCTCTCCTGGTGACCGGAGACGGGGGCCCTCCGCACCGCAGTCCGAGTCTCCTCGAGGACTCTCCAGCGCGGATGTACAAATAGATCTTTCAATATTGGAAACCACCGCTCCCCGCGCCAGCAGCTCCGCCCATCAGCGTCACGCCCCGCCCACCGGGCCCCGCCCCCCGGCGAGGCCCCGCCCCCAGATCCTTCTTCCCGCCCACCAGCCCCAGCTCCCCGCGAGGCCCCGCCCACCAGGGTCCCCCAGGCCCTAGCAGCTCCCGCATGTGGCCGCCCGGCCCACAGACCTGGGAGGGTGCCAAAACAGCTCAGGAATAAGAGGCCTGTTTTTTAAAATTTGTTTATTTTAAAACATGAAACCCAAGCTGAATAGAAACCACAGAAATTACATTGACGAGAGTTTTAGTATTTGCCAAGAAAAATAAAACCCCCAGCGAAATAAAAATCAAACCCTAAACCCAGTTTTACCAAAAAAAAAAAAAAAAAGCTTAAAAACACACACACACACACACACACACACACCCAGAAACACAGCGACAGCACATACAGCCATGGCCCTATGAAGTTTGGAGAACGCCAAGCGGTTCAGGCCTCGATCCCCGCTCAGGATGCTAAATCGATCTTGGGTGGTGGGGGCGGGGACCTTGGAGGGGGAGTCTTAACAAAATAACTTCGAGAGATATATGTAACAAATATAAAGTGGTGTGGCACACAACCATTATGGTTTAAAAAAAAAAACCCCGCACAAGAGGCCCCGGTCCCTGCTCGTCCCCCTTTTGGGACCGCCACCCACGCACCCGCTCCCCGGCTGGGCAGGGGTCCTGGGACGGGGAGGGATTGGCGCTTGGACTGGGATTGCATAGTGAGATGGGGTGAACGTGGAGGGGACATCCGATCAGGCCAGGGGACCTCGGGACCGGAAACGTGCGCCTGCCCGCGAAACCCCATCGGGGAGGGACCGGCCTGGAAGCCCGCCTGCCCGCGGAGCCCCCAGGGCCCTCGCCTTCTCATCCGCGCGGTCAGGGACCACCGCCGGAGAAACTGCAGGGCCTGTGGGGGGCGGGGGGGGTGAGGACCGCAGGTGCGGGGTGTGGAGGCCCCGGGCCCGGACTGGTTAGAAGGGCCTGAAAACTTAGAGCAAGAAAACCAAGGGCGGGAGGCTCCCCCCACCCGCTGCAGGACCGAGGCTTGGTCTTGCTGCCCTTTCGACGTCTGCGTTTTCCTTTATGCACCCTCGGTGACTGGGAGGAGCTGGGCGGAGACGCGGGCGGGCGGGCACGCGCACCGAGCCGCTCCCGCAGGTCCGCCACCGGCTTTCAAGCTTCTACATTCACATTTCGGCGGCCTCGCGGCCTTTGTGCTTCTGAGCCGCGGCCAGCACAGCTGGCACTCCCTCGGCCGAGGCAGAGGCCGGGAGGCCCCGCCTGGGTGGGGGGGCCCAGAGAAAAACTGAGCAGTTGGGCTGTGGCTCTGGCCTGTGGGGGGCCCAGGTCAGGGCGCCGGGAGCCCCTCGGTGAGGTTTGGCCTTGCGCCAGGGCTCAGATGCGCGGCTGGGGGCCTGCAGGCACACCTGGGGGCACCTCTGTTTGCCCACTCAATCCCCCCTCTCCCGGGCAGCCTCTGCCCTGTGGTCAAGGGCCAGGGGCCGCTGCGCTCTAGCCCTGGGCCCACCCATCCTTTTGGTCCCAGACACCAGCACACAGGAAGGATCCTGGAGAAAGGAGAGGTGGCTTCTCTGCGGGCCACCTTAAGGAAGGGGCGCTGCCCTGCCGCTCCAGGAGGAGCCTCCCATAATGTCTGTAAACTGCCGGGCAGGGCCGTGTTTCCCCCTGGAGGGACGCAGGCCAGAGCCGCACCTGGCCCCTCGGTGGCTGGCTGGCTGGGCGGGGCAGGCATCTCCCCGCCTTGACTTGGGGACGGCCCCACCTTCTGCGCTAAGAAAACAGCAAACACTGCACACGAAGCCAAAAGCACCTTAGGGAAGCCTTGCTCCCACTTCACAGGTAGGAGACCGAGGCCACAGGGGCCTCAGTCCTACAGCCGAAGGGACATTCATTCCTGAGGACACGGTCCCCTGGGGGCAACACCTGCCCAGGGAGGGGTCTCCAGGCCCTCAGGCTGCCTCTTGGTCTTGACACCCCCAGCAGCGCCCCGAGAAGAAATGCCTTCTCCACCCCGAAACCCAGCTGGCTCTCCGGGGCTTCGTCTCTGGCCTGGACTTGGCCTCACGCTTGCGGACCATGGGGTGCCCAGGGCGATCTCTCTCTCAGAGGCTGGAGTGAGGTTAGTGGTTAGTCCAAAGGGGGGCCGCGGGGGCTGAGGGCACCGTCACAGCCCGCTTGGGTGCAGCCCCCAGGCCAGCCTGTCCTGGATGCAAAGGGAACCGGGAAGGGGGTGCCAGCCGGCCCGCAGAACCGCCTGCCCTAGAGATGACAGATGTGGTTAGTGCAAAGAGCTGCCGAGGCTCCGGGGGTCAGGGGGGAGGGGGTTTGGCACCAGGAGGGCGGCCGGTACTGGGTGAGCAGCCTGGGCTCGGCAGGCACCTGTCTCCTGCCACCATGGACAGCCGGATGCCACGGATGGGGGCTGCTGCGGGGAGAGAGCGGTGCGGGGAGGGAAGCAGAGAAGGGGGGACCCCCGGGAGGCTTCTGGCAACTGAGGCGGAGGAGCCTGGGGTGGGAGGCGAGAGAAGGAAGGACGACAGATGCTGCAGGTGTGTGAGGGCGCCGCAGGGGTCTCTGCAGGCGGGAGGCAAGCAGGTGGGCGCACACGCCATCGCTCGAGACGCCCAGCACCGAAGGGGGCACTGCTGCCTGTGAACGGAGAGGAAGCAGACGGCCCAGCTGGGGAGCTTCGGGCGCAGCCGAGGAGACCCCGGGGCAGCACCAGCACAGCCGGCCCCTGCAGGGCGGAGGCGCGTGGGGGCTGGGGGCCCAGGCATCTCGAGCAGCACCCCCAGGCGTCCAGGCTAGTGACCGAGGAGAGGGTGCGGGCCCAGAGCCCCCGCGTCGCCCTGGGGGGCAGGCCAGGTGTCTGTCTCCGCACCCCTGAAGGGAGCAAGCCAGGTGTCTGTCTGCGCACCCCTGCAGGGAGGGAGGGCAGGGCCGAGTGACCGCAGAGGCGCCCGCAGCGGGCCCGGCGTGCGCGGGTCGGGCCCGGCAGGCGGCCGCGGGTGCACGCAGGGAGGCTGGCGCGGGAGGAGCGGGGCGATCGGCACGCGGGGCTGGCGGCGGCCGGGGCCTAGTGCCCGCCGCTGCTGGATTCGGGGCGAGGCTGGCTCGTGGCGAGGTACTTGGCTCTCATGCTGGAGGTGTACTAGAGGGAGAGAAGGGGGGCCGACGGTCAGCGGCGCTGGGCGCGGCTGGGCAAGGCCTCGCTGGCTGGACGGTGCAGAGGCAGAGCAGACAGAGCCCCGGGGCACGGGGCTCTGGGGGAGCCCGCTGGTCCAGGCCCGGAGGAGAAACAGCCCCTCTCCCAGCGAGGGGGGCCCATTGGCCCCTGACCCCCGTCTCGGGCATGGAGCTGGAGCACAGAGGCGCCCCTGCACCCCACACGCCCAGGACCTGAAAGCCCCACAGCATGGCCCGGTGGCCAGGAAGAGCATATCGGCAAAGGCAGGGCCAGGCTGTGTCCAAGAGCGGGTGGGACAGGTTCCCAAGGACCCAGACCACCAGGGTCAGGGTCACAGGAGCGAGGAGCCTCCACAGTCGCTCTGCCCCGGCCCCCAGGGAAGGACCTGGAGAGCCACAAAGGCCCCCTGGGGCCCGGGTGATGCTGCCACCCACTCAGGTGGGAACCAGACTGTGGGCTCCTGGCAGGTCACAGACCCGGATAGAGGCCGCTGGGGGCGGGGACAGCCCGCCCATCCTGGCCACTCTCGTCCAACCCGGCCACTCTTGTCCAACCCGAAGCGTGAAGGGCTTGCTTGCTACACACACACATATGTGCATGTGTGCTCAGAATGAACACATGTGGAAAAGATGTGTGCTCAGAGCAGGCGGCGTGCAAAGGGCCACACGCCCATCGCGGGGACAAAAGCCAAGGCATGTGCCGAGGCCGCTAGCGGGAGCCCGAGTGCCCACCGTGCGGGCGTCAGGACGGACCCTGCCCCCGGAAGCCCTCCCAGGACTCCTGGTGGGTGGCCACGGAGGCGAGCTGGACGGAGGAGCGGTGGGCACTGGGAGCCGTGTCGTCATTCCAGGGACATGCAGCGGGGGTTGGGGAGGCGGTGGGGGGCGGCGGCTCAGGCGGGAGGGGCCGCGGCGGGCGCCAGCAAGGGCGAGGGTGGCTGTGGCCATTGGTACAGGCGCTTCTGCACGCCTGGGGTCTCCCCCGAGGGCCAGGTCTGCTGGCCACGCCTGGGACTTCAGCGCTCAGCCTCCCAAACCCAGGCACCCGGTGCCGGCGTGCACACGCTCCCAGGCCCAGGAGGGACAGATGGGCGGCGGCCACCTGCAGCCAGGCCAGGCGTGAAGAGGGGCTCTGCGGGGGGCTCCCTGCCCCTGGAGTGAGGGTGACGGCCCAGGGCCAGGGTTCCTGAGGTCCACACGCCTGTGCTGGCCCTGCGCTGGCCCTGGGGCCTGCCGGAGCGGGCAGCAGTTTGCAGCGGGCGCGAGGAGCAGAGGTGTGGGCGGGCAGGCGGCATGGGGCGGGGGCCAGCTGGGTCAGTACCTGTCACTCTGAGGACTCGGCCACCACAGCCTTCAGGCACTGTTCAGGGGCTTAAACTGCCAGCCTGTGTGGCCGCCAGAGTCCAGGGCGGCCAGATAGCGCTAGGAGGGCGCGGGGCGGGAGGAGTGCAGGAGAGAGAGAGAGAGGGCAGCCTCAACACCAGGCGAGGACCGGCCCAGGGCAGGCTGCGGGTTCAGCCTAGAGCGCCGCCGGGGGTGCCGCCGGGAGCCCTCTCAGCCTGGGGCCAGGGCAGGTCCGAGGTCAGCGCCGAGCCGTGGGGCACAGCGGGGCCGCCGCACCGGCGGGCGTGGATGTCTGAAGCCAGGTGGCCCTTAGCTTCTCTAGCCTGTTCCTGGAGGCCCGCCGCCCCCAGGAAGCCCTCCAGAACCCCTGGCCCCTGTGAGCTCCTTTCTTTGGCACCAAACCATCCTATCCCCCTTTTCATGTCTCGTTCCCAAGACCAGAAGCGAGCACCAGGCCCAGCTGGAAGAGCCTGGGGGGAGACCTGGGCTGAGTTCAGGAAGCTGAGGAAAGAAGCAGCAGGGCTCGGGTAGGCAGAGAGCCCGGGCCTCCTGGAGGAGCACGTGCGTGCAGGCCAGCAGCCCGCCCGAGGGCCCCGGCTGGGGCTCTACCTGCAGCCCCGCGCTGAAGGCTCAGGGCAGCCTGCGGGGCCCGCGCCGCCCGGGAAGCCACAGCGGGCATGAAGCGGCGGGGCGGAGCCCGCACCCTGGCCTCGGGCCCCCCGCTCCAGCTTCTGCCCCGAGACTTACTGAAGGCGGCGGGGACTCGCGCCCAATGAGGGGGGTGTTCTCACAGCGAGGGTTCTGGAAATTGGCATTCTGGCTCCTGAGTGGGGAGGAGAGGGCCCTGCGTCAGTGGGCCCACCTGGGAATCAGGCAGACCCCACCCCACAGACGGCCCGCTAGTGAGCGCCTGGGGTCCCAGGAGCCCAGCACGCAGAGGGGCTGCGAGCAGGCCCACGGCCACCCTTGCCTGCCCCGGCCCAGCTGGAGCCTTGCCCGCCCGCCCCAGCCCACCATGTGGCCGGGCCCAGGTTCCTTGACCACAGGATCCCACGTGCTGACCCTCTGTCTGACAGTGGTCCCCTGTGGCCTTGACCCAGGGGTGTGGCAACAGCAACACTCTGAGCCCAGGCAGCCCCGGGCGCCCCCCCCACCCCGTATGCAGGGCCCCCTCGGCCCCTGCCAAGCATCTCGCTCAGGCACCCCAGGGCCCCCTCGGCCCCCTCCACCCCTGCCCCCACGTCTCGCTCAGGCACCCCAGGGCCCCCTCCACCCCTGCCCCGCGTCTCGCTCAGGCACCCCAGGGCCCCCTCGGCCCCCTCCACCCCTGCCCCCACGTCTCGCTCAGGCACCCCAGGGCCCCCTCCACCCCTGCCCCGCGTCTCGCTCAGGCACCCCAGGGCCCCCTCGGCCCCCTCCACCCCTGCCCCGCGTCTCGCTCAGGCACCCCAGGGCAGCGGCCACCCCGAGCCGCACGGGGCCAGGCAGCCTGGCCAGCGCCTCTGCGCCCCACTGGCCCAACTCACATGTACTCGGTGACCGGCGCATTGCTGACGGTGTGGGCCGCGGCCGGGATGCTGGTCTCGCTGCCGTAGCTGCTGCCGCAGCTGTACAGACTAGGCATGTGGACACGGTAGAGGCTGTCGTGTGCCTGCCGCGGCCCTGGGGCGGCCTCTTCCTCCCCGTCCTCGTCCGGGCCTCTGCGGGGAGGGACACCAGCGCGGGATCAGGCTTGACTGATGCGGGGCCACAGGCCAGAGGTCAGCTTTTAGGCAGACACACCTGCTTGCAGTCCTGGGTTGGCGGGGCTGTGGGTAAGGCTCCCGGGGACACAGGGAACGCTGCCTGCCTATTAAAAGACGGGGCCGGGGCCGTCCTCGGGGAGCACAGAGGGCCGGTGCCTGCGGGCAGCCCCAGCCTGCAGGACGGGGCTCAGGCGGGGACCCCGCCCCCGCCGGCTGCTCACTTGCCTGTCTCCTGGGCTGGGGGCCCCTCTAGGCCGGTCATGAAGTGGGAGTGCCCGCCTCAGATCCAGCAGCCTTGCAGCGGCTGCAGAACCCCAGGGAGCATCAGGGGCGGGGAGGCTTTCGTTCTGCCTCGACTACAGCTCGGGGCGTCCCGGAGACGCGGCCCCAGGCGCCCTCACCTCTTCTGCTGCCACGTGTGTGGGACGCTGCAGACGACAGAGCTGAACATGAGCGCCGTGATGAAGGAGAAGAGGGCCAGGTAGATAAGGCCCTCAACGCCATCGTAGCAGAAGCCTGTGAGGGCCTGCACGTAGTCCTAGGGTCAGGAGGGGAAGAGAGAGCAGGAGAGGCACAGCCTGAGATGGAGCGCACGGGCCTGAACCACGTCTGAACCAAGGCTGGCAGAGGCTCCGTGACCCGCCCCTCCCCCCTGCCCCTCCCCCAGCCCCTCCCCCTCCTCCCACCCCTACCCCAGCAGCTCCCCCTCCTCCCTTAGCTGCTCCCCTCCTCCCATAGCCGCTCCCCCTCCTCCCCCAGCTGCTCCCCCTCCTCCCCTACCTTCTCCTCCTCCCACCCTCCCCAGCAGCTCCCCCTCCTCCCTTAGCTGCTCCCCTCCTCCCATAGCCGCTCCCCCTCCTCCCCCAGCTGCTCCCCCTCCTCCCCTACCTTCTCCTCCTCCCACCCTCCCCAGCAGCTCCCCCTCTTCTCACCCCTACCCCCAGCAGCTCCCCCTCTTCCCACCCCTACCCCCAGCCGCTCCCCCTCCTCCCCACCCCTCCCCCAGCTGCTCCCCACATGGGCCCAACAGCGGCTGTGGGCGGCTCTCACCAGGTGCAGGCTGCGGCAGTCCACCAGGGCAGTGAGGTGCTGCAGGTTCACCTCCGTGCCGTTCAGCACCTCCTGGACACGGAGCAGGGGGTCCTGGGGGGTGTGCACCACATGACGTCAGCACAGCGCTCAGGAAAGGAGCCAGCCAAGGCCTCCCTCCACCCCTCACCTGCCAGCAAGAATCCCCCCTTGACTGCCCCCCCAGTCTTGGCACAGGCCCTGAGGACCCCGGGCTTTGAGAAAAGCCGACCCTCAAGTCTGTGCCCTGGCCTCGGGAGGCAGCTGAAAGCGTGAGGGCAGCGGGGAGCATGGGGCCCACAGCGCCTGTGCACACACCACCGCTGCAGGCCTGCCCTGTAACAGGAGCAACAGCAAACCCGCGTGCGTCTCCCGACACGGGCCTGAAGACTGTCTGAAGGAACAGTTTAAGACGATGGAAATCTTCACAGTATCTTAAAGGACACAACATTGTCCAGAATACTCTGGGCAGTGTGACCCTGGTGCTGTAGTGTGTGTGTGTGTGTGAGCATCACTAAACCCACCCAGGTCCTTGGGGGCGTGAAGGGAAGGATGGAAGGAGAGGAGGACCAGACCCCCCAGGCAGGGTCCCCCAGGAGCAGCCTGAGCAGTGACTGCACCTGCCTCCCTCTCAAGGTGACAAGGGAGCTTGCAGGCCCCAGAGCTGGCCCCCAGCCCCTCACCTTGGTGGCAGGATACTCCCACGAGACAGTCTTCAGGAGCTCAGCCACCACGTCCTGCATCTCCACCAGCGCCTTGTGGCTGCCCGACAGCTTCTGCTCCACACAGAGGCCGCTGAGTCCCGCGCGGGTGGGCGGCCCGTCTCCCTCCCTGAGGACCCCACCCCCCTCGCGAGGCGGGCTGGCTCCAGTGCCAGCAGCCCCCGCCAGTCCCAGGGGTGTCCAGCCCGTGGGGCCCCGAGCTCCTGGGGCGGGACGGCTGTGCCCAGTAGTCTGCTCTGCGGGACACCTTTCCTTGGCCCCCAGGATGAGCACGCACAGACAGTACAGACCACGGAAGGTACAGTGTCTTTAAAGCAGATACGCAGTCCGGAGGACCCAGAGGGCCACACGGGGACATGGGGTGATCATGGGCTACGCGGTTTCCCTTCAAATTCCACATCAGCCCAGACAGTTACTCCACCCGGCAGGCACAGGACCCCTCCGCCACAGGACACCCCTGGGCTCCTGCTTTGCCCGGGAGGCATCCGGCTGTCGGAAAGGGCAGCCTGGGAGATGCAAGGTGCCCAGGGGTTTGGGGGCATTAAGCAGGCCACCCTGAAAGGCTTGTGCTGAGGGCACCAGGGTGAGGGCCCCAGGGGCCTGACGAGGTGGGAGGGGGCCTCACGGTCTGTGGGCCTCTGGGGGTGGGGGCCAGGGCACCCGGTGCTCTGCAGGGGCGGGCCTGAGCTCTCACCTGCTGGAAGGGGTTGACGGCGTGGGGGGAGCAGGCCAGGTAGTGCTGCAGGATGTCTGCGGAGAGGCGAGGGCAGCTAAGTGACTCTGGCTGTCCGCGAGCACCTGTGCACGTCTACATGCACATCTGTGTACACGCGTGCGTGTGTCCACATCTGCGTGTATGCTGAATGTATGTGTGCTTGCTTGCATGTATCTTTACATGCATGCGTGTGTCTGTGTGCGCATGTCTGAGTGTAGGTGTACCTCTGAACATGCATGTGTCTGAACACACGAATGTCACGTGTGCATGTACATGTGCATATGTCTGTTTGCGTGTGAGCGTTCAGGTGTGAGGGGGGAATGGTCTCCAGGGAGCCAGGGGCCAGGGCCCAGACCCTTCTACTCTGAGTCGTGTTACTGAAATGGGCACAGTTCTCCCTTGGAGGCCTGCCTCATCCCTCCCGTCTCTGGGGAGCAACAGACAGGCCACGGCAGGAGGTGGGGGTAAGCAGTCAGAGGTCAGCTGGGCAGGCATCTGCTCACAGGGCAGGTGAGCAGAACAATTCTTAATCCAGAATGTCACCCCAAAAAGGGTGCAGGTGGCCTGCTTATCCCCATTAAAACAGGTGTCGATCGTGTCCAACATTCAAAGATGGGGACTCATGCACAATTCTGATTTTGAAAACTTAGGGGAGCCAAGCCCAGCCAGAATTGAGGAAGAAAATTTGTACCCCAACTGCCTAACCCTGGCCCCCACTCCTCCCTGTGCTGTCTGGCCCCTTCGGGGGGCTTTCTGGGTCCAGCACAGGATGGGGGCTGGAGCGAGGCCTAGCACAGCCCAGGGCAGCCTCTCCACACCACACCTGTGCTCAGCCCCTGAGGTCTGGGCTCCAATGGAGCTTATGTTGGAAAACAAAAGAAAGCGCCCACTTGGCTTGAGCCACCTGTTCAGGGAAGCAGCTCGTGGCCTGACCTGATGGCCCGTGGGCAGGAGTGGGCACTCACAAGCGGCTGGGACACGACCGCAGACTCACCCCCGCTCAGCACCGAATGCTCCTCCACCATCCGGGTCACATAGGTGTCGGGATCCACACAGAAGTCACTGGAGCCCTGGGGTGGGGGCAGGCAAGAAGGAGGGGATACCAAGCTGGGCCCCCGAGCCCTCAGCTCCCAGGGGTGGAGCCCGGCCCCCCAGCGTCTGCGTGTGGCTCAGGGAGGTGGCGTGGCTCTTCGGGGCCAGGGGGTGGGGACTGACTCGCTGTGTGTGTGTCACACACAGGTCCCCCGTCTCTCTGGATCTCGGTGTCCCGTGGAGGAGAGCAGGAGGTGACTGTGGCATCCACCCCCCATCCCCATGCTCTGCCAGCAGACGGGCACCCGGTCCCCTCCGTCACCTACCACAGACACGGCCAGCTCCAGGCCCAGGGCTCCCCAGCTGATGATCAGGGCCAGCACCCCCAGCAGGCAGACCCTTGGGGCAGAGAGAGGCAGTCAGCACTCTCCAGGCTGGGGTGAGGGCTGCGCCCCACGCCAGGCTGGACCGGAAGACGGGGGCAGGCGGGTCAGGGCTGACTCGGGATGGACGAGACAGGGGCCCCGGCCCCCCACCCCGGGGCCCTCAGACTCACCCTACCAGGATCCCCTTGGAGCTGCGGATGAGGCCGGCCAGCACCAGGAGGCAGATGGCCACGTCGAGCAGCAGCAGGCCCAGGTAGCCCAGCCACCTGCAGGGACACAGCACGCGTGGGCTGGCCACGGGGCCAGTCCCAGGGCAGGGGCAGGGGGTGCTGGGCAGAGCCAGGCAAACAGCCCGGGGCCCAGAGTGTCCACAGGCAGCTCTGGGTGCAGAGACTGGCCTCTGACCTTGTAACAGGCGTCCCCATGGGGCACTCCTGCCGGTGACCACCAGTGGCCCCAGCCCCTCCCCCAACAAGACCTCAGGCACTGGGGGCTGGAAGCCGACTGGCCTGGAGAGAGGAGCGGGGACCAGCGGGGGCAGGCAGGAGAGGGGGGCGCACCTGTACCAGTCGTAGAGATCCACCTGCTCGGCCAGTGCCTCCAGTGACACGGCTGGGTTCCTCCAGAAAGGGATGGCCGCCGTGTAGCCCAGCAGTGTCTGCAGCAGGCCCTGTAGCCGCTGGACCGCCCGCAGGGGCTCCGGCCGCGCGGCCAGCTGCCGCTCCAGGCTCTGCAGGCTGGGCTCCGCTGTGCGGTTCAGCGCAGCTGCCGTGTCCCACACCTGCTCCAGGTTGGGGGAGGCAGTGAGCTGGGACAAGGACGGCTCCCGCACGCTCCCGCACGCGCCCACGTCTCGCTCTCACACACATGCACACACACGGGTGTAGGAGCAAGAAGAGGCCCCCCCTACCCACGCGGCCACTCACGCGGTCCTGGACCCCTGCCACCGTACGATTGGCGTGACGGAGTGAGTAGGTGGCCCGATGGATGCCGTCACTGGTCTCCCCGTTGCCATAGAACCCCACGGCAATACCGGCGCTGGGACAGGACGGGGCCGCGTGAGGGACTCGGCCTGCCCCGCCCCTTGAAGTCTGACCCCGCCCCCGCCCCGCCCCGATAACACCGCCCCTTCCAGTCAGACCACGCCCACAGCAGCCCGGTGGCCACGCCCCGCGCCGCCCCGCGCCGCGCGCTCACCTGCAGACCAGCGTGGCGATGATGACGCACCAGGCCGTGCAGCAGCAGTCTGCGTCTAGGTGCTCCTCACTCTTTCGCCGCCGGCAGCACAGCCAGAAGGAGTAGAAGAGCAGGAAGAGGAGGTCCAGGGCGAGGCAGGCCAGCGCGGTGGCCCCCAGCAGCAGCAGCGCCTGAGGGCGGTGGGGGAGCGGTGTTGGAGGAGGGGCTCCCAGGCCGACTCTGCACCCAAGCCCAGGAGCGGCCAATCCCACCTGTGCCCCCGGCCCAGGGGCCACGGGTCCCCAGCACCGGAGTCATGTGCCTGTGCTCACCCAGACCTGGGACCCCAGACTCAACGTCTTCGCTCCTAGACATCTGGGCACTGTCCAAGCCTCACTTGGAGGGGCCGGGTGGGCAAGACCATGGGCTCGCCTCTCCTAACCCCGCCCAGGCCTTCACTGGACACCTCTTGGCTGCCCTTGCTGCAGAGGAAACCAGCCCTCAGGGGGACCTGGAAACACCTTCCTCACATCTTAACTCTCAGCCGTGTGGCCTTGAGCCTGGGCAGCCATTGTGGGGTGGAATGCCCCAGGCCCACCCACCCCTGCAGGGTCCCCTTGGGACCAGAAGCTCAGCCACAGAGGCACTGGGACTGCTGGGTCACAGCCCTGGCGCCCAGCGACTGTCTCCCGGGAGATGGTTGCCAGGCAGCAGATGGAGGATGGCACTCCCTGCCCTCCCAGGAGCCAGCTGGCCCCAAAGGCCCCCTGCCCGGCCCAGCACCCCAGCCATAGTCCCTGGGGGCTGCTGTGCTCTTTGGAGGCCTCTGTCCTCCCTACGAAGTACAGGATGGGGCAACTTCTTGGGAGAGGCCAGGGCACCACTGAGGGTGCAGCGTAGGTGGGTGGGCCTGACAGGACCTGACCACCCTGCTCGGCGGCTGGGCGGGGCAGGGAGCAGCCCCTGTGTGCTGGCTCCAGAGGGGCCGCCACTCCTCACGGTCCCAGGGCGCTCACATTAGAGGGACTCTGAGGCCAGGCGGGGAGGGGTGTTCAAGGTCACACGCGGACACCAGCCAGGCCGCAGCAGGGAGCCTCCGGTGTCAGCCAGGGCCTGCCAGAGGGACAGGTGCCAGTCACGGGGTGAGTGCTCACCTAAAGGCGCCCAGCATCGGCTGCAGCCCCCACCCCGCCCAACACTGCCCACGCCAAACAGGATGCTTGGAAAAGCAGTCTCATGGTGGGCTCTGCCCGCGCATGCACAAGCTGGGCCCCGGGCACAGGGCTGTGGATCCTGCAGGCCCCCCTCCTCACAGGTCAGAGGGGTCACTGCCTCCATCCTGCCTGCAGGCTCCTCCCCTAAACCCTCAACCAGAACCCACTGGCGGTCAACTCCCGACCCCACACCCTGCCTGCCCCAGCTGACGGGATTCTGCAGGCCCCGATGACCAGCCCCAAGTCAGCCCTGTGTTGGCAGCAGCCACCACCCCCCACCCTCAGCAGGAGGCCACCCTCTGGTCCTCAGGCCAGCTTTCCGCTCCAGCCAACCTCATTCCCCCTCCTCTCCTGCCTGACCCGCAACCCCTCCAATAGGCGCATCTACACGCGTCCTCTTGAGGAAATCCTTCCGGGGGTGAGGAAGCCAGGGACCAGGGGCACAGGGCAAGGGGCACCCAAGCTGGGGCCCAGAGGCCGCCCAGCCTGGCAGTGGGCAAGGCCAGTGCCTACTGAGTTGTCAGGACCCATCACAGAGCTTGCAGGGCTTGAGCCAGGACCACCCACTCCCGTCCGTCCTGTGAGAATCGGAGGCGACATAAGTGCGACTGGCCAAGCAAGACCCTAGCAGCAGGGGCGAGGCTAGGGTGAGGGGGCACCGCTCCTTTGGGAAACGTGGTAGGTGCCAGGCTGGTGGAGGAAGCAGGCGCTGAGCCCTGCAGGGTGTGAGCTGGGGGCTGTGGGAAACCAAGAAAGCAGGCCCAGCGGGAGCGGCAGCAGGTCTGCGCGGGCACAGCCCAGTCCAGCGGGTCAGGGAAGTGCGCTCCGGGCATAGGGCGCCTCGCCAGGCCCGGGCACTTGGGAGGTGCTCTGGGATCTCCTACGGCTTTGATTTGTTTTTTTTTGTTGTTGTTGTTACTGGTTTTCTTTCTTTCCTTTTTTGGTTTTCCTTTTTAAACCACGAACCTTACTACCTTTATAATTACAACACAAACCCAGAAACGTGTTAGTAGCTCTTTTCAGTCAGGCGTGGGAGGCGCCTGGCCCGCACCCAGCTCCACCGCGTGAGTCCTGGTGCGCCTCCCTCCCGCAGGCCTGCTTCCCTTCCTGGGGGCCGATGTGCCCGCGGGAGCTGGGCGGTGTGCGGCGGAGCCGCGGTGTCCCAGGAACAGAGGTCGAGGGGAGGGCTGCCCTGGGTATCGCCACCAGGAGGCCGAGAACCGCCTGCTGCTGGACAGGGGTGGGGCTGGAGGGGGCTCCTGCCCAGCCCCGCGGGTGGCCGAGCTCGAGGGGCCCCGAGTGAGTTGGGGCTGGGGGCAGGCGGGAGGCGGCTCTGCCTGGTGCCAGGAGCTGACCTAGTCTGGGCGCCGTGTATAAAACAGAGCCGGGTGAGTGTGTGCATGCTCACACCCACATGCATGGCTGCGCCCGTACAGGGCCATACAGGGGCACACACGCCCTCGCACACAGTCACCCGCACGTGAAGATGTCGTCCTGAGCCCCAGCAGCAGCGGGCGCAGCAGCCCACATCTGGAAGCTCTGTGGTCGTGGACAGGCCTCGGACACCTGTCACAGGCACAGCCACCCGCCGCAGGCCCTGGAAGCCCCAGCCCTGGGGGAGCAGCCGCCTCCTGCCCGCCCCCAGCCCCAACTCATGGAGCGGAGCCCACCTCCAGCTCCGGGAAGGCCCGGTCCAGGGCTGTGAGGGTGAGCGCGTGTCCTGGGGCTCAGAGAGGGACACCTGGGGAGGAGAGTGACTTCCAGAGGCTTCCCTGGGGACGGCAGAGACTCCGGGGGCCACAGTCTCCCCCTTAGCCCAACACAAGGAAGCCGGTCCCTGCCCTCCTGTCTGTCTGCCCAGCGCCAGAAGGCCCTTCCTGGATGAGGGCACTGCACCACTTCTGCGCTGGGCCTGTCTGCCCACACCCCCTGTTCCCCGATGGGTGCTGGAAAGGCCTTGCTAAGCTCATCAACCTGGCTGGGGCGTTACCCCCACTGGGCCTGCGGCCAGGCCTACAGTGAACACTCAGAAACACGAGGCTCCTGCCCCCACAAGCTCGGACAGAAAAGTTTGCCCTCAGATGGGGCTCGCCTTAAACCACGACCCCCCTGGGCTGCTGGTGGGGGCCCCCCGCACGGCCCCAGGAGGTAGGCTGCGGGGGTCGAAGCCAGGACAGCCCCCCTTGGTCCCCACAAGGAGGTGACAGAACCCTCCAGTTGACATGGGGGGGGCTGGCCCTTGGGGCTCAGGGCCCCAGCCCCCTGATGCAAACAAGCCAGGCCCACATGGGTGCGAGGGCCAGGGCAGGGTGGGGGCGCCTGGCCCTAGGCAGTGGCCTCCTCTGGCCCAGGGGACCAACTTGCCCTCTGCCCTCATCCTGAGGCCAGGTTCCCAGAGAACAGTCTTCCACTGGCATTCCCGCGGGCGCCCCGCCTCCCCTCCAAACCATGCGGCGGCCCCTCTGCATGGGAAACGTTTGATCAGCATCTGGGCTCTGACCAAATGGAATTTTCCGTCTGTGATGGAAGTGACGTCAGCACGCGGCCAGGCGCTGGGGCTCCTGTCCTGACCGTGGGCCACACTGCTGGCGTCAGCACCTGGAGTGTTGCAAGCTCGCTGCGAGGCCTCGGCTGGACACACGTGCACCCGCCCCTCTGGCTGCCATTTCTCAGCCCTGGACCGCCCGGCCTTTCCCGAGGCCCTGCAGGCCCTGCCTGGGGGCGTGCCCACCAAGGAGGCCCTGTGGGGCCTCCACGTCCCGCGGGCCCACAAGCCCCCTCCCGCTCTGGAGACGCCCGACGAGCCGGCGCTCGGGGCCTGAACTCACCCGGTCCAGGGCGGGCCAGGCCCACGTCTGAGGCCTACTGGGCGAACCAATGAGGCCTCCGCCTCCAACAGGTCCTCCCAGCCCAGCAAAGGGACCAGGGCCGGGGCCCCAGGGAGCAGTGGGCCCCCTGTGCGGGTGGGTGGTCCCTGCAGGGTGAGGGGAGCCCCAGCTCAGCCTCAGGCATGCCGGCTGCAGGGGGGGCCCTGGCTGGGCCTGTGAGGGGAGGGCCACGCCGTGCCACCAGATCTCAGTAACAAGCCCACAGCATGGTGCTCAGCTCCACTGCAGACGGGAGAGCAAGAGGCTGCAGCCTGTCCCCTCCCCACCCGCCGCCCGCCCGCTCCTTCAGCACAGCCTGGACACAGGCGGTCAGCACACGGCCCGGGCAACTCACAGCACCAGCCCAGCTACACCGAGGTGCGCCCAGCCAGCAGGCGGGGAGGGCCGCGCGCGACCCTGGGGCAGCTCTTCCGCGTGCCACCACACAAGACTGGTCCAGCTGGGTGTCCTGGCAGCACGTGGCCTGGAGGCCTGTGAGGGGGTGTGCCCCACACAGTGAGCACGGCCGAACCGCGGACAAACTGCCTGTGGAATACCCGGCCCTCCGACCACACAGCCGCCGTGCCACCTGGCAGCTGACCCTGAGAGCTGGCCAGCCCGCTCAGCCCCTCTGCAGGCCGCCACGGCCCGCGGCCAGGCTGGGAGACCCTCCCGGACGATCTGATGGGAAGTGGGGGCCTGCGGCGCCCTGCCTACAGCCCCAGGGGCTGCGTCCCCGTCACCCTGCTGTCCTAGCTCGTGCCCCCTTGGCCCACCTCCTTGGGGAGACGGTGAGCACGCTGGCGCGGGTACAGCAAGGGAGACTTGGGGCCAGCAGTCCAGGGGAGACCGGGCGGGCTCTGGACCTCCTCCAGGTCACGTGGCTAGTGGGCGGGGCAGGATCCCAGCCCGAGGGTATGACTGCAGCCTGAGGCCTCACCGCTGCTGGGTCAGGGGCTCTCCTAGGGCCGGAGTCCCTGAGAAGGCCACAGTCAGCCGGCCTGCCCCCTGCTGCACGGCCCTGTCCCGCCCTATGCCAACACTCTCTGGGAGGTAGCCTGGCCAGGTGGTAAAGGGCAAGGCTCCCAAGAGGAGGCAAGTCCAAATTCC